TATTGACTTTCCGGCGTCCCTGGTGCTGCCATATTTCTTGTCCCTCCAACATGGGACTTGCGCGACTAGACCCAGGACTTTAGGAAATGGCTCATGATTGCACTTCACCTGATTGAACTTCCCCACTTCTCTTTTACATTGTTGACTTGTCACCATTGCAATAATCAGGGCTTGAATATGTACTAATCATGATCGTTCGTATTAACTAAGAATAAAATGGCTTTACAAAAATAGACATTTTAAAATAGTCTACGGATATTATTTCCATGTAGGGGCCATTCACCAATACGTGACGCTCGCGGGGGTAGGGAGTGTTTGATCAGGAGTCACATTGTGTCACAAGAGGGGGGAGGATTTTCCTTTGTCTTTTCCTCATGTATTATTAATGAGATTTTTAACTTTTGTTTTAACAACTATAAACAAGTCAATATTGTATATTGGCAAAGTGTTTTAATTAAATTGTTAGTAACGATACAAAATACTAGCTCAAACAAATTTCCATAAAATTCATTTCGAACAAAACAATAATTTTGAATGGATCAAAACTAACATAGAGTATGGACTTCTGTGACTAAACATTGTGTTCCCGTGTTTCCTTTGTTTCGCACAGATATCTCGCCATGTTCACCTTAGCTTGTTCCAACAGTAAAATATCCAAACTGGCCATTCTTCCGGCACGGATCACTGATTAAGTGTTGGGGAAAAGGGAGATCCATTGTTTAGAGAGGTTAAGATACCCCGGTTTCGGTGTACGGGTACGAGTTGTGTCATCTTGTTTTACTGATGTATGTAATTCGATCATACTTTATCTGTTTTCATGCAATAGACAATGATATAATGCGAAAAATGTGCACCTTAATTACGAGTAAAGGTACAGACATCGACGAAAATATTGCTAACCAAAATCATGCTACCCGTACACGTACACCGAAATCGGGGTATCTTAACCTCTCTTTTCATTCGAAACATGGAGGTAGGATCCGCAGCGGAAGACCAGCAAGGATAGCCGAAGAATGGGGTGGGAGGGTGGGCGCTGTAAACCATGCGTACAAAAATATTCCAATCCTCACCCCCACCCCTCCATCCCACCATGGCTAACGATCTAATCTCTTTACTCGAACACTTCTTCCCCGTGGCGATCAGCACAAAACAAGCTGTATTACAGAAAATCCTACCTTTTATGTATTTCCCGCCATTAATTATTCAATAAACAAACCCCTTATGCATATTTTAACACTTAATCAGTTCCCGTGGAACATTTTGCCAGTTTGAATAGGGAACGACATCATCCTAACCCTTGTTGACTACGAAACAGTCGAAGCTCATTTTAAAAATATATATCAAAGAAAACTCCTCGTGCCCTGTTTGTGGAAGCACCGACCATGCAATCCCAACAAAGAAAAACTATGGGTCGATGAGCACTGCAGCAACAGCAAACGAACATTGTGTTGCATGCAGGGCCAGACCAGGGTCGGAGTGGGTTCTGTGTTCATATTTTGGCATTTTGTCGTCAGGAGTAGTTCAGTTGTGCGCGTTCATGTTTCATGATGCCTTTTATTTACATGTCATTTACCCATTGTGGTCATTATGTGATACCATGCACTGACTCGTTGTTCCCTAAGTGTTTTTAAACACAATTCAGTAAAATTGACAAAGAGAATTGTTGTAGTTTTGATCAAATACAGCGTTCTCAGAAATTGTGCACGCGCTAGCCTAGATCCTTGCATGTGCACGTGCTGCACAACAGACAATCAAGTGCATTTATGATATATGATCTTTTGATTGGTGAAAAACAACACGTAATTTTATTATCGCAAAGTTTTCGATCCGTAAGCACTGATGAAGATCCGACAAAATATGGATTGAAAGCTTTGCAATAATAAATATGCGTAGTGTTTTCCACAAACCAAAAATATATTGTTTTAATGCCATGCAAATTTTCTAGACACTTATTAATTTGTGATGTCATAATCAGGCCATGCCGTGATTGATTAGAAGAAATTCGTTGGTGAATAAATTTTTCTAATTTTGGAATGTATAAACTCTCTTTCCGTGGTAACAATACTTTCTAATGGGCAACAAATTTTCCGTTGGTAACTACATTATTTATTGTGGGTTTCCTGAGCAACGTCGCAGATTTAAGCAAAAGGAAATAGAAATTCTCCGTCAAGTTGAAGCTAGAGAGGCATCAGAAGCATTTCAACGAGCTGAAAAATTTAAAGCAGAATATCCTGAATACTGCCGAATGGCGGGTGAAGCGAGGCATCGGAATGGAAACACGGACAGTTACTGGTCTAAAGGAATGGATACAAGGAATAAATGGACAAAAGAACTGTAACTCGTTTATTTTTTAAATTCGGACAGTAAACATGAAAGAGGAGGGGGGGGGGTGCAATTTCCATCCACGTCGAGCAAATTTTTGTCTGCTGCCATTATTTTTACTCCCGTGCGCCTATGTATGCAAATATCATGATTGAATACTAATATAGTGCTTGATGTAGTGCTTGATGGCTGCACGACATATTAGGTCCGCCTTATCCACCTTTGCTTACAATGCTGCTCAAAACAATCAGAGACACTCTTAAGCCCGTTTACACTTGCAATTTTTGCTGCGGTTCTGGTGCGATTTTCCTCTTCTGATAGGTGTGACCTGGGAACGAGGTTGAACGAATGGATGAGTTATGAATGTTGAGATCAGAGCAGCTAGGGTACATATACTCAGAACATTTGTAAATCATCTACTCCTTCACATCCATCAGAAAAAGAAAATCGCAGTAAAAATTGCAAGTGTAAACGAACCTTAAAACTATTAAGGGGAGATTTCTTTGTATGTTACGTAACACACGCTCAAAACTAATGCGTACAATAATCACTTGTGGCTATGACTAAATTGAAAATTTTTATTTTTCGATACGTTTCTCAATCGGCAAACAAACTTAAAAGTGCTATTTCTGTAAAATAAAGTCACGCCCTCAAAATTTGTGAACACATCCTTTTCATAATGTGTAACCAAAAGACAGGCTACAATTGATATATAAAATGATCCAGCGCAAATTGCCCCCTCCTTCTGGGCAGCCTCGACAGTACCTGCTGTTACGACTTTCTATATGACAGCGTAGTGATCATTCTTTAAAAAATTCATTAATAATTCACGAGGAAAGTACAAAAGAAATGAATAATAATAATAATAATAATAAACTTTATTTAAAGAAGGTGCAATTATACAAAAAACAGTTTAGCAACGCTAATCTTACACATCTTGAATGTTTAATTATGTTTGTAAATCGGATAAAGATTTGTCCTGATTTACATAAACTTCAGCTTTGATTTTCTCGGCTTAGACAATGTTTATTTTTAAAATTTCTTCGTCAATGAACTCATAAGATGGGTAATTTTTTAAGTACTATTTAAAAAACGAAAAAACGAGCAGGAGTGTTTTATTACCTAATAAAACACGACCTGCGAGTTTTTTAAATGGCTTCAAAAACGTTTGCATAATAAGTCAAATCTTGAGTAAATCTTTATATAAAAATCTTTATATAAAAATCTTTATATAGTTTGCATAACAATGGTCTTTTGTTAAAGTGTTCTTTAGCTGGTATAAAGACGTATGCACGTGACTAATTTCTTACTCAGGATTGGATAATTGCTTCATGAATTATTAATGAGTTTTTGAAGTACGATAAAACATTTGCATCCGATCTGTATCTGATATACAAACTCTCGCCTTCGGCTCGAGTTTGTATATCAGATACAGATCGGCTGTTCGTGTTTTATCTAGTACGTAGAATCCTTAAGATTATATACACTACACAAGTATCATTCACTCCAACATCCAAGCTCATAAAGAGATCTTTGATGGGAGACTTTGTTCATTTGATGAACCTTAAGTATAATATTAGTGCTGACGTTCGATAATTTGGCAGTTATTATTTCAACTTTCATCATTCAAGTTATTCTCATTCAAAATGTTTTGATTATTAATACTTTCTAGTGACAAGACGAGTTTTTAGTTCAGTTTTTTCGGCTCATTGCCTCATTTTCTTCATAAAATTAACAATTTATCACAGCACATTTTAGGGAAAGTACATTTATTATGCCGAGGGGGGGGGATGAAGATATTAAGGGGGGGCTCCGAAATATTTTCTTGCATTAAAGGGGGGGCTCTGAAAGTTCTTGATATACTGAAGGGGGGGGGGCTCTGATCTTTTCAAAGGTTTGACCCCAGCAAGTTAAAGTTAAAATTTTTACATCAGTTTCAGGAAAAATTTGCATAATAAAGTAATTATTTTTGTGAAATGATAACCATTTTTGTAAAATACAGTCAATTTACATGCAATTTGTTTGCCAAATTTGCTTTAGAAAACGCCAGAAATTCAGTCCTAGAGCTTTAAAAATTTTCCCCAGACCCCCCTTTTCTCCCAAAACTTAGTATGAGAGTGCCAGTCAATCACAAAAAGCTTTATTATAATTATTACACGTATAATCCTCTGACATCTCCCCCACCCCAAACGTCAGATGCTTTGCTACGTCCCTGATGGTTGCATTCGAAACCGATTTCAGTTTTAAGATATCCTTAGTCTGCTCTTCTAAATGGATACATGAAATCACCTAATCGCTATAGCTTATTTTAAATTTTTTTGCGCCAGGTTTGTGAAGTAATTTACGCGCCAAAAAGCAAAAAAGCATATACAATTTGCAAGAATGATATGTTCTATGTTTATGGGATATTTCGTACAAACGGGATGGAAATTAAAGAAATTGAAGCATACTGGCACTTTTGCATGCATTTTTGACAGGCATGCAAAGACATTTGCAACAGATGCCGGGAGATAAGTTGGGTGGGGGCAACATACTGTAAGGTTCCAGCACATTACCCTGATCCAGGAAATCCTGGCCACTACATGAACGTGTTCAAGACTCCGAATACGCTGAATGATGGACAACAACAACCTGTTGATAATTCCACCCCTAGAGCCAATTTAAAATTTTTTAAAGACGGTGCCATTTCATCTGGTGCTAGTGAGGTGAAAGAAGCAGCAGATCGGTAGTTTTGTTGAGGAGAAGTACATGCATGAGTATATCAGACATCTTGAGGAACTGCAAATTGTATCTATGATAAGAGAGAATTCCGGATTGTACTCCTTCGATTCCGAATTCTAGAGGGGGGGGGGCATTGAAAATTTTAAAAACTTGGAGGGGGGCATCGAAATTTACCGATAACCTCAACAGGGGCCCTGTAAAAATATGAGCTTTTTTCAAGACATCTTCATCCCCCTCCCTCGGTGTAATAAATGTACTTTCCCTTACATTTTATCACTGCACATTTCATTTTTATCACTGCACAAATTGGTTATCACTGCACACTAAAATTAGATATGGAAAACATACGAGTCTTCTCATTTCATGGGAATATCCTTCAATTTTTGAATTGCAGAATAATTAGATGCACTATCTAGTGTATATAAGATATCTATGGAAGTCCCACGGTTTGCTGTAGTTAGCAGCTGAACCCTTTTCAATTTTTTCTGTTGATTCTTTATTGTAATTCATGAAACAAATTGTAATTCACTGAACATTAAACAAAATCACGGCCATCGTTACCTTCACAAAAATAAACCTCTCACAACCATAAACTAGCATGATAATTTCGCCTGTGTGTCGTTGCAACTTCACATTGAACGAAGGTAAAGATATCGGCGTCTTTCGTGTACTATTCTCATAGATTGATAAAATATATCTATTAAATGCAGTTTTCTGCACAGTTCTCAGCTTGTGTTTACGTTTATTTCCACACGCAACCCTTCATGATATTGACATATTGTACGTAGTTTCTCCAGGTAAGTCTGAATATCAACCCGAATCACAAAAGAAGCTAACCCGAACTTCAACCTTGGAGGGGGTAGGATGATACTCCACATCCTATAGAGTATAGCCTGCTTGCGGCGGTCTTGGGGCGCGTGCTAAAATGATCAGCAAAGCAATAAAATCATTCTTGAAACCTCCAAACAAAGGACATCTTCACATCAAAGGACAGCAATCTGATTACAAAATGACTATATGCAAATAAAAACTACTTTTAATTTATGTACAAACTACGAGCATCGAATTTAACCCTCTAGTAGCCTGTGTACATGTAGACTCGACAAAAACTGCTACTGGTTATCAGTCTTTCTTACCAAGGCACTGTTCTTGAATGGGACAACCTTCGTATGAGCATAAAAACTTAATCCTCATGACCACACAGGTACTGTCACATAGTGCGGCTAGGGCATGCTAGCTCAGTGGAGATCGTCAGGTTCTTACATACTTTTACGCGACACCAAGAAACTCGGATATTAAGCATCCGCAATCATATGACTGAATCACCTATTCGCTGACCATGCGCTGAAATATCTCTCAGTTAACATTTAGATTTAGATTCATATTGTGTGCATGTACTGTACATGTCAAGCCTGGATTTTGAAAACATATATACTACACACATAAAAACGCAGAAGTTGTAGCAAACTTGCAGCAGACTTGTAGCACGAAAAGCTGTTCCAATAACTTCTGTCGTGAACAGGATGTGTTCGCACATCCTGATGCCAAAGGGTAGACGACAAAAACGGTATCTACCATACGGAGTGTTGAAAGTTATTTTCAGCGATGATTCGTAATCTAGAGGGATCTGCCAAAAATGCGATCTACTGAAGCGGAGCACGATGAAAATTTCCTGAAAGTCCTTGATAGAATTCTAGAAATCAACCTGAAGCTCAAGTGGGACAAATGCAAATTCAAGGTGAAGGAAGTCGGGTATGTTGGTTACCTCCTAACAGCAGAAGGATTAAAGCCAGATCCAGAAAAGGTTCGTGCAAATTTGAAAGTTTTGTCGGAAATTTAGGAGGCTTTGCCCCCCCCCCCCGGAAAAAGTGAATTTCCGCCACTGTGCCGAGGACAGTCAACGGCATAACCATCCAAGTTGAATGGTTATGCCGAAGACAGTCAACGACATAACCATTGACCTTATGAGAAGTTTATCGGCAGTTGAATATATTCGGCATAAACATTCAAATTAGATGTATATGCTGTTGAATATGTTTGAATGGTTATGCCGAAGACAGCCAACGGCATAACCATCCAAGTTGAGTGGATATGCTGCAGACAGTCAACGGCACACTGCTGAACAATCCAAGCTGAATGGTTATGCCGAAGACAGTCAACGACATAACCATTCGACTTAGATGACTATATGCAGTTGAATATATTCGGTATACTATAAACATTCAACTTAGATGTATATGCTGTTGAATATGATATTTGTGGTGTTACTCTGAGTGTATATTCACACCGGGCGAGCTTGAAAAATATGCCCGGCCACGGTTGGACTCGAACCCACGACCTTTGGAATACCAGCCCAATGCTCCTCCAACTGAGCTACGCGGTCAGGACGGTTCGAGTAAGTGATATTTCGGAACAGAATCTAGTTCCTTCGATACCAATGTTTTCTATAGTAATATGAATTTTTTCTGTGTTGGTGTAGTGTACTCAGGTGAATATGATATTTCTGGTGTTACTCTGAAAGGTCGTGGGTTCGAGTCCCACCGTGGTCGGGCATATTTTTCAAGCTCGCCCGGTGTGGATATACACTCAGAGTAACATCACAAATATCATATTCACCTGAGTACACTACACCAACACAGAAAAAATTTGCTGTTGAATATGTTGAAATGGTTATGCCGAAGACAGCCAACGTCATAACCATCCAAGTTGAGTGGATATGCTGCAGACAGTCAACGGCACAACAATCCAAGCTGAATGGTTATACCGACGACAGTCAACATAACCATTCAACTTAGATGACTATGCAATTGAATATATTCAGCATAAACATTCAACTTAGTTGTATATGCTGTTGAATATGTTTGAATGGTTATGCCGAAGACAGTCAACGGCATAACCATCCAAGTTGAGTGGATATGCCGTGGACAGTCAACGGCATAACCATTCAACTTAGATGTTTATATGTCGTTGAATATGTTTGAATGGTTATGCCGAAGACAGTCAACCTCTTAACCATCCAATGCTTATGCCAAAGACAGGCAACGACATATATTAACCACTCCAAGTCGAATGTTTATGTCAAAACAGTCAACGACATAACCATTCAACTTAGATTTTTATACAGTTGAATATGTTCTGCATAAACATTCAACTTTGATGTTTATCTTGTTCAATATGTTTGAATGGTTATTCCGAACCCAACCAACGGCATAACCATCCGAATTCTTATGCCGAAGACAGTCAACGGCATAACCATCCAAGTGAATGGTTATGCCGAAGACAGTCAACGGCATAACCATTCAACTTAGATCGATGTTTATGTCGTTGAATATGTTCGGTATAAACATTCAACTTAGATGTTTATGCCTTCCAATATGTTTGATTGGTTATTCCAAAGACCGGTTCGTTTCAAATCTGGTTATGCCGTTGACTCCCTTCGGCATAAACATCTAAGTTGAATGTTTATGCCGAACATAATCAACGGCATAAACATCTAAGTTGAATGTTTATGTCGTTGACTGTCTTCGGCATTACCATTAAAACAAAGTATAATTGAGCTATATTAATTTGAATATTTGGTTGCTTGATTGCTTAATTCGGATCATATATTTATGTTTACTTTTAATTTTCAATTTTGCCATCTTGTAACACATTTATTTAATAATTGTCTACTGTATATATTCTACTAGAAATTGATAGCCACCTGTCTCGATTAGCCCCTATGGTTACTTACGGGTGGCTATGCACATAATTCTTTTGTTTTATAATGCTTAATGTAGAAAATTGTTGTATCTTGTATTTATAATGTGTGTGCAAAATTATTCTATTCTATTCTATTCTACTTGGATGGTTATCCCGTTGACTGTCTTCGGCATAAACATTCAAACATATTTCCGTTGATTATGTTCGGCATAAACATTCAACTTAGATGTTTATGCCGAACATAATCAACGGCATATACATCTAAGTTTGTGACTTCAAATGTGTCGCATATCAATTATGCAGTTTAGATAAAGAAGGAAATGGGAATGCAAGTTGAATGGTTATGCTGAAAACATTCAAAGCCATAACTATCCAAGTTGAAGACATTCAACGGCATAACTAACCAAGTTGAAGACATTCAAAGGCGTAACCATCGATGTTGAAAGTTTATGCCAAAGACAGTCAAATGTTCATGCCGAAGACATTCAAAGGCATAAATATCCAATTTGAATGGTTATGCCCAAGACTTTCAATGGAATAACTATCCAAGTTGGGACATTCAACGGGATGAAACTATCCAAGTTAAGGACATTAGACATTCAACGGCATAACTCTCCAAGTTGAAGACATTCAACGGCATAACCATCCAAGTTGAATGTTTATGCCGAAGACAGTCAAATATATGTTTCCCGAAGACTTTCAAAGGCACAAACATCCAATTTGAAGGGTCGGTTATGCCGAAGGCATCCAGTGGAATAACTATCCAAGTTGGAGACATTCAACGGCATGAAACTATCCAAGTTAGAGACATTCAACGGCATAACCATCCTAGTTAATTGAATTTTTATGCCGACGACAGTCAAATGGTTATGCTGAAGACATTGAGGACATTCGACGGCATAACCATCCAAGTTGAATGATTAAGCCGAAGACTGTCAAATGTTTATGCCGAAGACATTTAACGGCATAACCATCCAAGTTGAATGGTTATGCCGAAGACAGTCAACTGTCTTCCAAGTTGAATAGTTATGCCGAAGCCTTCAACGGCATAACTATCCAGGTTGAAGATATTGAACGGGTTAACCATCCAAGTGGACGAATGTTTATGCCGAAGACAGTCAAATGTTTATGCCGAAGACATTCAGCGGCATGTTATGTTGATGATGTTAACCATTATGAAACCTTTGCAAAAACGTTTCCATTCTCGTACACAGAGTCGTTGTTTCGAATCCGGTTTTTCTATTTCGAGTGCGGGTTTTCAAAAGTCAGGTCCGGGTTTTATCAAAGACGAGTCCGGATTTTTTTCGGGTCCGGGTTTTTCTCGAGTCCGGGTTATCTTCGAGTCCGGGCGCGAGTCCGGTCCGGGTTTCGAAGTATACCCAAACGCTCAGCTATCACCAACCGTATAAGTTACTGGTGTCTTTCATCAGCTACTTACTGTCACTATATAGACTACAGAAAGTCGAAACAAAGGACAGCAAGTGTCGGTCTGAAGTTGTCCGTTCTACTCAATCTACTGCCGGGGTTTCACTGTATGTTTGCTATGATGGCGAAGGCCGCCTCTATGAAAGCTTCGTGGACCATGCTGAGTGATTTATTACTGAGTGGGAATTGATGAAACCGTAATGCATCAAATTTATACAAAGGAATGGACTGTAGGTGAAGAAGAGCAGATGGATTTGTTTTGTGTGACGTGCATTTTAAATTAAACACTCATGACCGGTGAGAAATGGCACTTTCTAATTTAGTAACGATATCAGGTTGTTATTGGTCCATTGTAAAGTTTATTAACAAAAGACTTAAAAGTTGATCTAACTGCGCATCTAACTGAGCTTCCAACTGCGCCTGGCTAAAATGTTTATCTATTGGTTGTGACAATAACTGCATATATAATCATCTGCATGCGGTTGCTACAAACTTCCAGTCTTCGCTTGAATCGTCGAAGTTTTTCTGGTATTTTTCTGGTAGTTGCATCCCTATCAATGCGAGGCCTTCTTATATTATTGGCACTACCAAGCTCTAACTACATTGGCACAGACCGTTCAGGTATCCATGAGAGTAGGCGAAAACCTTTTCATCAGGATAGTGTTTTGCACATACTGCATGATTATGAACGTATTGCAGGAGAAATGAATAAGTGTATATTGTCGGAGTGTCCAATCCAACGCCTCAACGGTAGAGGGAATGGAATATATATATCGCAAACAAAACGAGTTCTTGTATTGTTCATCATGCATGCATGTTGTTCCGAATGAATTTTTTTGCTATTCCATCAATATCGGGTATTCATCTTCAAGTAAGCTTACTTTTTTATATTTTAATTGTTCTTTGAAGTAGAAAAAACTTTAAAAATAGGAAAGTAACTGAGAAGTCCTGTCCTTGCAGGTTTGCATGCCTGATTGGTTACGTCATGTTTGTAATTCCTAGCATGTTTATCATATAATAGCCAAAATTACACGTCGGTTTTTAAATACCCACGCATACACAGACATACAGTTTTACACCAACGCAACCCAGGAATATGAGTTACGCACCAGAGGTTCAGTAACCATGCACGCTGAATGCGCGAGTTTAACCAAAAGTTACGTACTGAAAATTTTCCTTATCCTTACTCTGCAGCAGTGAAGAATTTCAAAATTGTTGAAAAAATCTTGTGAATCTTGTTTATAGAAACATACATCATGTGGATATGTGATAGCAGGAGCTCAGGGTTTCTGACTGGGTCCTACAGTGCATAAAACATAACTTAATTTGCGTAGGTTGACGTACAATCACTCACAAAAGCAACCAATATATGATTCCTGTTGAAATCAATCAACCTTTGACAATTAAACAATTTCTCGTCAGGTTTTCTCAGTTAAAGGCCAGGCTTTGTGCCAACTCAAAACAACGCATTCAAAATATGCATGCAGAGCATGTAATGTTAACAAAACATGTATAGTGGATTAAATATTTTATCAGGTGCTTCACATGTATGGTGATCAACTGCAAATATATTGCACATGTCATTAATGTTGTTCGATAATTCCATTTTCGACGTGTATTTGCCACCACGTACAAGGGTAAATAGTAAAAATGACTCACATTGCACATATATAGCTCTGTACTATCTATGAAGTTGAGAATTGACCAGTACATATAGCTATGAGTTCACACCCATGCACTGTGCATTTTTGTGAGACTAAGGTTGTTGTCACTAAATGGTATTTTGCAGTGTCTCCTTAGCATAATGTTTAAATATGAACCATATAGAATTATAAAACGACTAAGAAAAATTGAAGAAACCGAGGTTTAGGATTATGTAAGGGACGTTTTCTATAAATTCTGTGATCAAAGCACTCTCAAACACCGAGGCGTATAATTACTCTCACCGACTACGTTGCTAGTGATTGTAATCTGCTGAATTTTCTACTTCATTACACCGACACACTGATAGAGTAGGAGTGAAAAACACTGATTAGTATTCACAGCCTCTCCTAACCTGAGTATATCAGGCCGATATCTCTTCCTTAAATGCGCATAGAGGAAAATGGCCTGCTACCAAACCTTACCTGCGAACGGGCATATTCTTGACGAAATTGTACGTGGCTGTATGAAAAAGAGCCAATATCGTTATTGTTTGCTTTTTAATATTGGAGAGGTTAAGATGCGCTGTTCCAATCTGTACAGGTACGGGTTGCGTCATTTTGTTTAGTAAGTTTAGCTTATGTCTGCACATTTGATCATACTTTTTCTGTTTTCTCGCTATAGACTATGATCTATTGAAAAAAAAGTGTGCAACCTACAGACCGCGATGAAAACGTCTGACCGTACGTCGAAACAGGGATATATATTATTGAACCTCCTTTCTATTTCAGAGGAAATGATATGCATGACGTGGCGTGTGTAAAGTTAAATCTTGTGGTGACTGCAAAAATAAGAGCTTTAAAATTATTCAAAAAATCTTATGAATTTTGTTTATAGCAAACATACATCATGTGGATGTGCCATAGCGAGAGCTGGTTTCTCGCTGAGTTTTACAATGTTTAAACATGATGGTGGATTTGGCCTGCGAAATGATGTGATTTGATTAACCTCAAACAATGAAACCTGCAGTTCTCTTCAAATTTTTTGAACGGTTAACGTGCATGCCAACAGATCTAAAACTGTATTTGAAAAGCTTATATATTATAAACCTGTGTGCATAAAGGGCAAATTAACGTTTACTGAACTGAACGTTTGATGCTACTCCCACCTAGATACATAATTAATATGCATATCGTCTTCAATTTGAAAATGTATGAATACTTTCGCTTTTGTTACAACACCAAAATGATGTAGCCACTCAAGCTATGTGGACACTTTTGAATGTTGAAACCATTTTTGTGTTATAGGAAACACCAAATACATACAGTGGCGTAACGTTACATCAGAGCCCCCCCTAGTAGAAGTGCCAAACGCACGAGTTGAGCGCCGTATGAGTACGAGTTTTCTAGGGGGTCCATGGCCATGCAGGGCATGCTCACGCGGAAAATTTTTGAATCTAGAGTCTCTGAAATGCCATTTCCCGCTGGACTTTGGGGAGAGATTTTTCACAATTCTAATGGTCAGTAAATGACATTGTAACATATCAGAGGCCTCACTGGCCAATGTTTTTGCTTTTTGGGGACCCCGGTCTGAACCCATAGTCATAGCTACGCCACAGAATATACACTCAATAAGTGTATCGAAATGACAAGTATATTGAAATACACTTATTGTGAGTTATTGTGTTGGAATAGTACGATTGCCCAGTGTATTTGGAGTTCACATTTACACTAAAGCCTGGTTTCCATATGGTCGTAATGGTCGTAAAAATAGAGTCACGATCTTTCTCAACGGCCAGTTTAATTTATACATGTGAACCACATATGAAGCATATATTTTTCAAGCTTGCCCGGTGTGGATACACACTCAGAGTAACATCACAAACATCATATTCACCTAAGTACACAACACCAACACAAAAAATCAAGTATTTTCTAGTTATAAATTATAATGACTCCGGGTATTTTCAGTTCTAAAATGTTGTATTTCGGCTGATGAGAAAGATCCTGACTCAATCTTTACGACCGTTACGACCATATGATAACAATAATTTAATAATTTATAAAGCGCTTTTTACATATAATGATCAAAAGCGCTGTATTACAATATAACTAATGTTAAAAGCGTAATAAAATGTTGAAATGTTAACTTTAATATAAACTAAATACTAAAAGCTATAGTTTAAAAAGATGAGTCTTAAGACAAATTTTAAGAACGCTTATTGACGAAATGTCACGAATTTCTTTCTGAAGTTCATTCCAAAGTTTCGGAGCTGCCACAGTGAAAGATCGGTCGCCAAATGACCGTAAAAATCATAGACTCGAACCCAGTCCCCATGTGAAAAGAGTAAAAGTCAACGCTCTGCCGAAAGCCGTGGGTTTTCCCCGGGTACTCCGGTTTCCTCCCACAGGGAAAGTTGACAGGGTGAGTTAGGTAAAAAAAGGGCCCACAGTAATTGGCATATGCTGTTGTGGTGACCCTGCCCTAGTTGGCAAAAGCTAAATAAATAAATAAATAAATAGATATAGGAGATCTAGATTGCTAACGCATACCTAGCGCAGGCGGGGCCTACATGATAAATCCAAGATGGCGATACAACAGGGCAAAAAGACTATAGATTCTATTACGAAAATCAGGATTTTTGCATTTTTTGCCGTCGCATTGTTTCGAAACTTATTCGGTCAAATTTTATGGTAAAGAGAAACTTACCGCGAAGATTTTGAGCATATATATGATTGAATTGGATGAAAAATCGCAAAATTATCCAGCGATAAAAGTTCGTGTGAAATGGTCAGTTGGTCAGTTGGAGCGTTTTATTGCCAGAAATACTGTGCTATGTTAACATCTAGCCTTGTGAATGGTGTTTTATACTTGCATCTCTCATCATCATCTGCTCTGTCCTCATAATTATGAAAAATGAACTGTTATGTCCCCCCCCCCCTCCTTGCTTGTTAGAGAAGTAAACTGATGAGAGCTGACTGGATGAGGGTCTATCATCTATGGTCTGTTATAATTTGCTTTTTACGCAAATAGTGAGCAAAAATTAAAGCAAAACTGTACAAGTTACATATATAGTACTATATCAGTACTATATATGAACTTTTATCGCTGGATAATTTTGCGAGTTTTCATCCAATTCAATCATATATATGCTCAAAATCTTCGCGGTAAGTTTCTCTTTACCATAAAATTTGACCGAATAAGTTTCAAAACAATGCGACGGCAAAAAATGCAAAAATCTTGATTTTCGTAATAGAATCTATGGTCTTTTTGCCCTCTTGTACCGCCATCTTGGATTTATCATGTAGGCCCCGCCTGCGCTAGGTATGCGTTAGCAATCTAGATCTCCTATATCTATGGTAAAAATTTACCCTTAGGGAACCCTAGCATTATGCTATCATTAGAGCGTAAAAGGTAGTTTCCTTCCACTTTGACAACAAGTAGATCTACCATGTACTTTGGATCCATTCCATGTAAAGCTTTAAAAGTAAGCAATAGCAGTTTAAATGGATCCTGAACTTCACAGGTAACCAGTGTAGTTCACGTAATATAGGTGTAATGTGATCATATTTTCGTTTTGAAGTCACTAATCTTGCAGCGGCGTTCTGAACCCTCTGCAACTTAATCAATTCAGTATTAGGTAAACCATACAGGAGACCATTACAATATAATCTAGTCGACTTGTAACAAAGGCATGTATAACAGTCAACAGATTTTCCCGAGATAAAACTTGCTGATGCGTTTGATGTTGTGAAGCCAATAGAATGCGGCACCACATGTTTTTGTTATATGACATGACATTGATAAATTTGAATCAAGCCAAACTCCTAGATCACGAGCTATTGGTACAGGAAGGACATCAGCATTCCCGATACGTACATGGCATGGGTTAAGTTTCTGCAGTTGCTGCTTAGATCCAATTATTAGCAGTTCAGTTTTGCTGTCATTTAGTTTCAATTTATCTTGAATCATCCATTTCCGAAGATCGTTGACACAGCTTTCCATTACCGAGATCGCTTCACATTGATCGCATGGGTAGTCAGGTTTGAATGACACATACAACTGAGTGTCATCAGCAAAACCATGTGAATCTGGCGAGTGATTGTTAATAATATCGAACAGTTTGGAGGCATATAATATAAAAAGAAGAGGCCCCAAACACGAACCCTGCGGGACACCAAAGTTCAAATCAGATGAATCAGAAAGGGTACCATTTAGCATAACACGTTGACTTCGACCAGACACTGAATAGGAAGAAAACCAACTGAAACTCTTCCACGCAATCTAAATTTTGACCTTAACCGTTCCAGCAAAATTCCATGATCAATTGTGTCAAAAGCGGAACTTAGGTCCAACATCAGTGTCTACAGAGCTACAGAGCTGCAATGATGAAAACTATTTTGGTGTTGTGAAACGTGCACTGAAATTTAGAGTTTACTTATACAGTATGAGTAAGCAGAAGATGCTGAATGTGTCCACTACAAGTAATTGCCACCAAGTACAAGATCATATAGTGAAACTAAATTATTCAATCCGAACTGTCTTTGATTATATTATAAACTACCATGCCTGTCCGATATAGTTGGAAGGATGCACCTTAATTAATTTACTTTTAACATAAGAAACGTCTTTGATCGACAGACTTTCAAAGGTGATTTATCCCACCGCTGCCACCAATTGTGACGGGCAAGCTCTAGTTTTAGCAGACTAACACGCGCATACTGTGGAACTATTTTGTTGAATGATCTTTCAGACATGAATTTGTGAAAGAAGTGGCAGTCTGCAGGGAGAGGTCACTAAGTGCTGAGTCCATGATATTTTTTGATTTCCGTTTGTTTCGCTGTGACAATGTCAATGTGTCAATTTTGGAACTCCATTATGCACAACATTATAATTTTAGATTAGAAAACGAGGGTAATTACACATATAAATGTTTCTTAAACCTTGACTGTCCTTGCGTGAATGAGTGTTTATGAAATGAAACTTGTAATTATCTTCCCCCAAGTGCAAAAGAATTCCGCTCCCTATAGATTAAACGAGACAAAACAACTGGACTCAGTTTGATGAGTCCCCATGAGTTTGCCTGGATATAGGCTTAATTGGTCTCGTTTACATGCATGACCTTGACGGCTTGACCAGAAGAAGATCGAGACGTGTTTGTGCTGGGATGGGTCTGATGGGATATTCCTGGACAAATGTAGCAGGGATTGCATGATTTTTCCACGCATATGCGCGGGATTGGTTTACAACCTGGGGCCGGTTGTATATACCCTGTAAAACTCTTAATCACTTTTTTTAATCACTATTTTGTAGTTGAATAGTGATTAACTCTTAAATACACGCTTCGTATTCGATGACGTTTCCACTATCGTTAAGTTTAATCACTTAGTCTTTTTATACAACCGGCCCCTGGCCTACCAACCATTAAATTTGTACATGTACACTAATTACTAAATAATGGTAGCGGATAAAAATACTACTGAAATTTTTAAGCATATATAAACCGTACCGCGCTGGAATTAAGCTGTCCCAGTTAAGCTATGGACTTAAAGTCTCTGTTGGTCCACTACATGTCATGTTTGGTGCAATGTTGCGGACTACACAAATACTTGGTGCGAGATTAAACTATTTGCCTGGGGATATCCATTATATCGTTTGTGAAAGTGTATATTTGAAGAAACATGTATTCAGTTTCCAAATAACTTTAGTATATTTGTTTAGAACTGCAGTATAGATCTCTCTAGAAGCAGGTCATGCTCAGAAAACAATTGCAATCTACCAAAAGCGGATCTCCCACGCGCTATGCACGTCCATGCTTTATTTGATATTTGAAAACGCTTTGTTTTCTTTTTCTACTAGCTCAGCGGGTCATTCAAATGGTTATTGAAACCGGCGAAAGAGATATAAAGCATTAAGGTAAACTGTTTATTAATTTTGACTATTAGTTTTGTGGACAGAAGAAATGAAAGATAACTTGTAAATATGACAATACGTACTTTTCTCTAACATATTTCTTATGGAAAACTATTGCGTGTATTCTCATTGCAGAGGCCCATGCATTCATTCAGTATCAACTTGGGCAGCTGTCAAACTTTAAGATAAACCGCCCTCCCACTGTTTTCTTGAAAGCAAGATATATAGTGAACTCAGAATAAGCAAACAGCAAAAATGCTGTCGCATTTTTATTCCAGGGAATAACCCATACTTTCTTTCATAAAACATGTAAATTGTATAGTGTGTAATCCCTTGTACTTATAATTCTTCGCACTACCGTTTAAATTTTGAAAGTCATTACAGATGCATGCACCTGCACGTTTCAGATGTAAAAGATCTAAAGATTTTCCATGCACTATTGTTGACTGCCTGCATGTGATTCTAGTTGAAAACCGACTCTATATGACTGGTGATTGGTATATAGCATGCATGCAATTAGCCTTTCTCACGATGACGAATATCCGCCATTTTTGGATGGCGTCTAATTCTTGTTAACCAATGCAGACAATTAAAACAATGTGAAAAGCAATTTTTCAAAATAAACTAACCATTTACAAAGCAAATTTACCATCATTCATGAAAAAAATCATAAAAAGTCGCTGTTATGTGGACTTATCTCGCAGACGTTGGGCCCAAAAATGGCGGCGTGAGAAAGGCTAATTTATATAAGCTCTTTAATTAAGATACACCAGAAAGCTGCGGGTGGAGAAGGAATCAACTACCTGAAAAATGCAAGTAAAACTTCAACATTTTGAGGGAAGGCCCTTCGTCGGGAAGTTAGTAGCCAAAGATATATAAACTCTTTACTCATCCCTCTCTGGCTCACTTTAGATGAATTTCGTTGCGCGTTCTCAATTTTATTATTTTAGAACTAGTTCCTTAATTAATTCTGGATCTATTTCATTTCACGCAAAAATAGTAGTGCGAATGCGAAGATGCTCCGGTACGTCTCTTCTTATAGTCTTCTATATACTATAACTGCCTTATATGCAAGATATTGCACTAACATGTTGAGTCTTGCTTTACACGATTGTTTATTAAATCAAGTGATAGAAACCGTGCTTTAATATACCCCAATATCCTAATGTCGGGGTAAAAGTTCCAGTAACTAATCCAATGCTGCATGACCTTAAATATCTGAAAATGATATACTCTGGAATTCAATAGGTAATGCATCTAAGTATAGTTTGCATTATAATATACAAACGGATATTTTACAAATGAATTGTATCGCTTTCTTTTCCAGACGTTTTCATTGTGTACGAGACGGAGTATTCTTTGTAAAATGTTCCATTAAAAGTATTACCATATTTTTAATGTTAGTTTATCTCATATATCTCCATAGGCTATAAATAGCTGAAATGTGACTGGCGCAAGCCACTCTGCGTTATTCATTTAAATGCAATTACCTCAAATTGGTTTTGATTTAAATAACAATCAAAACAGTGGATTTTATTTGTAGCATTGTCATGCTTTCATTTATCGAGTGCTAAGCCGTATCCAGGTGGCAAACGTCGTTTGTTATTTAGCAGTCTCCTGCTATTCATGTGTTTGACATATTGAATGTACACACGCAGTTCTATTCTGCTGGATACCTTCCTGTTGTGTATATGAAAATCTATACAGCAATATAGCATAAGGTAGCTTGTCTCGATCTAAATCTTCACACCCTAAATCATATTGCTTTAAATCATAGCCAATTCATATAGTTTTGTGAAGATCGTGAAGTAAGCAAACCACTATATGACTACTTTTATATATATTTGAGCATTTTCATCATTCCTCAATTCGTGTTATTTTTTATTTACAGTGAATTTAACGATTTCAGGAACACTTCAAATTGCGATATTAAACATGACACTGAATTATAGAACTTTTTTAAGGGGAAATTTTGTGGAGAGATATTACTCCTAAACGGCGCATATCGGTTTAATCTCCAATAATTTTCTTACGGCGTTTTTACAAATAGGCCGAATATATATACTCCCTACACTTTATTCTCACCAGAGTTTCAAGGGTCTTTAGTCAATTCCGAGTCAAGTATACCTGATCTTGTTATAATCATGTTATGTCCAATATATGGAATTTGTGATTGATCATTTTATGTGCCTTTTTACATCAACGATGAAACTTAAGCAGCGTACGGTCAAACAAGAATGAGAGCTAATGAGAGTTTCTGAGAGTTGGCAGTCATACGGGGGACATTTCTAGATTAACAAAATGAAAGTTTCGTGAATCTTTCAACTATGTTTTAACTGAAATAGAATCGGCATAATATTGTCGGGAAAGCATTAAGAACAGCCAACCAAGGTAGTTTGATCCGGGCATTAAAGCCTGCATGTGATTAAACGTGCGCGGTAAACAATTATCATGCATGCAACTCTTGTTCCCGGGCACGATCGAGTTGCATGAGAGTTGCATGAGAGTTGACTGAGTATTGCCGCCCATATATAGCAGTCCTAGAACAAAACTGATAATAGCTCTAAACTGGATTGAGTGTCGATGAAAGTTGGCGGTAAACGCGAGCGAGGCAACATATCAACTCTCATCCTCGTTTGCCAAGGACTTATTTAATCGGAGAATGAGAGTCTTTCCTACTCGATGTAATAATATCCAGCAAACTCTCAACAACGTTAATGCAACTATTGTTTGCGTTTGACAAGGTCAGCAGGACCGATGGAAGTTTGAAAACTGACTCTCATCCTCGCCGACCCAGGATTTATAACAAATATCAATGAGCTGCAGATTATGAATATCGATCAGTACAGTCATATACTTTTGTCTATTATATGTTTCTTCAAAAGTTACATTGTTTACATTGAAGATTTATTTAAGCACACAGCCTATAGATATATCAGAATAATTTATCTATATATAGAATAAATATATATCTTTTCTTCAGCCCTTGACTCCTTCTTTCTATTATACATTGTCATTGTGTTTAGTGGTATCAGGTTAGTTTCACTCCATGACCATGACTAAAATCTAAATTAAACTATTTACAAATGCTATTAGCTTTAAAGCCGCTGTAAGTGACTGAAACGAACCTGTCAGTGCTTGTCATGCAGGACTCAACTACTCCACCTATTCAGTGCAGACAGTGTTGAAATAGCTATTTATTTAATATGCATTGTCTCCCGAACGTACGACTTGATTTTATAGCAAAATATCCTGACCCGTTGCTGTCGTAAATGATTTAATATTGGCTTCAATTTTTCTATATCAGTTGCAACTATACTAGCATCAAAATACACTATATCAACTGGTGATCTTCGCGTGTTTTTGCCATGCAATAACAGCAATTGACAATTGAGTCTGATTAACCCATGACGCCTATCACACACTGGCTTCGTCCAAAACCAAATTCTGAAAAGAAACAACAGTACATCGAGTTTAATTTTGTTTCCAACTGACTAATTCAGTTTCTATATATATATACAGTACATTATACAACATTGCATGCAATCGTGTAGAGAAGAGGAGTTCTGTAGCCTTTTTGATACCTAGCCTATAAGGTGCAAGAGGAAACATGTATATTAATTATATCATTGCAGTGCAGAATTGAATACTAACGAAATTAAAACCAGCATGCAATGATTCCTACTCAATCAAAGCAGTATTATAATATAGTTGTTTATTTACAGCACGTCGTTTTAAACAGATGCACCAATTTGTTATATGTAATTATATAGTATATACAATGTCCGATCATTTAATTATTCTTTTTGCCAGGTATAAGCATACTCTGCAACTTACTGAAACGTTAAATTGTCATGAAGTGAGATTCCATGCAGCAGGGTTGAAAAATATTCACTGTCTTGGTTGAAGGGTCTACTTATAGCTGTATGAAGTAAAATATACATATTAACAAAATTCAACGTATCGAGCAAAGAACTTTCAGCTGCAGTACTTTGATTCGTATATATGCATGGAAGTAACCGCTGCTACATTTCCCAAACAAAGCGTCAAAGGACGTATGGCTATGCTTGAAATTTGTTTTATATTTTCCAGGTGTTTCAACTAACATCGTTTTTTAATTATGTGCTGCATCAATTTGTACACTTTTGTAATCTCACAATACAAGCAAACATGCAGCTTTTAACAAAGAAGAACTTAGCCACAAAAGAAGTAACTCTTCTAGTGGTTAATCAATCTTTAAAGACAGTCACATTGCTAAAGACATGGTCGATGAAATTAACTGAATGACTGATTAAAAAGTTGCATCTGATCGGTGATTATACTGAGTTATGTAACTTTAGAAGTATTGGCGTTTAGCAACGCCTAATTATGTCATGTCAAACAATGTATGTGCTGGCTATAAATTCAGTGGTCAGTATAAGACCACACATATACGTGCATCTTGTATCGATGTTATTTAATTTAACTCTCAATGACATATAGTAAAATAAGCTTTGATCGCATGTACCATTTAACAGTCGGAACAACCTATCTTCAGATATTTTACCTATTTAGATCTGCATTCATGTCTTACATACAGTTGTATAGAACGAATCCTCCTCGGAGTATGATAAGCCACTCTAATGCAGTACTTCATGCAGGACGAGTCGTTTGTTGAAAAGTGTAGATTGGTGTACTTTTATGTACGCATGGTATATCATGGTATAAAATTATAGGAAATTCCCAGTTTTCAGAGACTGTGAGGGGTTAACGTTTAAAGCAGTACTTATAGGCCTTGTATTATAGTTTGATACAGTGTGTGAGCAATTTAGGCTCAGTGATGTTTCATATATACTCGAAATATTTGTTCCGTTCAATTTTTACATGTTATTTTATTCACATAATAGTCATATTTTATGTCTTATTTTATCCGTTTTGACCTTTTTGTAATGGGTAAACTGTCTATAGCTTACCAAATCTGGCCTTGAGCAGGCAAAAAAGCTAATATTAAAACAGTTATATCGATGACAGTAAAAGTTGTAAAACTCATGTATTTTTTTCTCTGGAAAGCAGAAGTGATGGATTTCGTGGAGTTTGCTACTTACCAAATTTTGCCATGAAAATGACTAAATAAAGCGACTGCCATGTTACAGATTTAAATTGTCAGGTCCGTCACATCCATCAGAATCTCCATGATTATCGATCAGTTCATCATCGCTTATAATTTGATCTTCACAACAGAAATGTTCATTTTCCACACCTTCTAAATCTTCACCGTGTTGCAAGAGTTGCATGAGCGATGCAATATGGCGGGATGCTAGACGAACAATCTCAATTCGTGATATCTTTTGATCGACAGACGACAGCGGTAAAGCGTTCTTTAAACTAACAAAGGCTGTATTAACCACCTGAAGCCTTTTTCGTTCCCGTTCGTTCGCCAATCTCCGCTGTTTGCTGATGCCAGTCAGCATTCTCTTGCGACGTCGTTTACGTTGCTTTGGCTTCGTCTCTGTTGCTCGTTGTTCTTCGTCATGAACTTGAATTTCTTCTTTCTCAGGCATCCTCAACCTAGTGCAGTCTTTCATTTGACAGTGTCTTTGCTGTTTTGAGGCCAATTACCAACAGTGCGGTTAATATATATAGTGTATAAAGTAAGGCGCAGCAGGGTACATGAGGCGGGGTCGCCATCTTACTGATTGTGATATATTGCCGCTGTTGTAAGTGCTCTTTAACTCAAGCTAGTTTCTTTGTAACTCTTATTTGTTCGTTTGTGCAAAGGTTCCGGTTATCAAACTTGTCTGCATGCAATAATATTTTCTGTTTTGTTTAATGTGCAAACAGCGGAAACTGAGAATATTGTACATGATGTATTATTCGTTTCAAAGTCTCAACAATGGTATCTGTATAAAACCTGCCAAATTTGTTTGTGTTGGATTTTAATTTTGTGTAAAGGCCAACATGTACTATGTAAATACTATGTTTTCGGTGTGTAAAGACCTGTAAATGATGTTTGCCAGTCGGACTTTTCATGCATGCAGACATCATATAACATACCTAGGACCTAGCGGTCTAGGATCATTAAGTGGATCAACGTTTTCAAATTGAGATATCAGTTTTGCATTTGAAAATTGAAATACACTGATACAATTGGTTAACAACATGTGGCCTGTGGGAGAAAATCGGATTACTCCGATAAAACCTACTCTTTTGACATGCAAGTCTTCAACCTGATGCGAGAGGCGAAATGTAGTTGCTCTGACGACACCGAAGCTCTCCTAGCTTCCAACGCCAACGCCAACGCCAACACCAACGGACCCAATCTCCGTCACCGAAGACGAAGTTAATCCTGCTTTCCAGTTATGCGTATTTAAGTAGACATGCCCACAAAAGAAAATAAAGGCTTCTGAATTATACATGCATAACTGATGACCTAAACAAATACACTAAATTATAAAGAGTATACATTAAATGCTGTCACAGTAAATTGAATCTGAACATGGGATCAGGGCCGTAGCGAGGGGGGGGGGTATTGGGGGGGTGGTTAACCCCCCCAACTTTTGACATATTCGGAAAATGGGATGGCCATTCGGAAAATTACGGCAATTATAGTATATGGTTTTTGTACGAAAATCATGAGATTCAGGAAATTTTTAGCTAATATCTAACTTTTGGTATGTCCGGAAAAATTTTTTGACCCTTAAAATGGTACACTGACCGAAATTTTTTTGGCGACGGGGGGGGGGGAGGGAGGTCGCCAAGAATTTTTCTGATAAGAGATTGAGATTTTCAAAGATTTGATATGGCTGATACTAAAATGATATACAATCACAGTTAATTAATCTCAGAGTTAATCTCCGCTGGATATTACTGGATAGAAGACTGCGCACCATACCCAAATATCCCTAAACACCACATATTACCTAATTTGATCATTCTATTTTCAATATGGCGGACGAAAGAAGGCGAAAAAAGCAAAAGAAAACCGAAATTTCGGTATTAAACAATGAAGATGTTGGTCAACCAAGTCCAGGTATATTTATTTATCCTAACCATATGTGTTTTCCTTTTCTATTGATGTTTTGCTCCAGCATATGAATTTAAAAATAGCCTAAATGTGCATCTTATTAATATTTCCATATATTTTTGGAAATATAAAAATACTATTTAATAATAATCCTGTTTCGCTCGCTACTCTGGTTTAAATAAATGATTACAAAGCCCAGTCGAATTGTAAACGTTTCGACACTCCAGTCTAGTGTTTTCATCAGAGGTGATCTAAAGATGCGATCGTGGCTTCTTTTATGGATCTCATCACCCCTGATGTCCAAGACACTAGACTGGAGTGTCGTTGGGTCTTGATTACAATTCGACTGGGCTTTGTGATCATTTATTTAAACCAGAGTAGCGAGCGAAACATGATTGATATACCTGGTTGCAGTGAACGAACAAACTCTAAAACTATTAAATAAGTTCTTTGTAGGTTTGCATTGCGATAAAACACATATTAATACTTTTGTTTGTGGAAACACCACGTAAATTTATTACTGCAAAGCTTTCGATCCGTAAGCCTGGATCTTCATCAGTGCTAATATTAATAAGCAGACTATAAGCTTAAAAGCTTTGCAGTATTAAATTTACGTGGTGTTTCCACAAACAAAAGTATTATAATATAAATACTGTCTGTATATATGATATATATGTATTATACTTGAGTAGGCATGGAGGTAAATGGTAATATTATTGATGTAGGTTCTCAGCAATGGGATAAAACCTAGTGGACATTATACAGCAAACTTTAATACCGCTACATTACCATGGGTCATGTTCAGGATATTCAAGTTGCCATGCAAAACATCAAATGATTTTAAAATTGACGGTTTTATCTTAACTCACCTGGCCAACCAGCTGCCAGTTCAGGCTAGCTTTGAAAATGCCAACCATGACTTAACTTAGGGCAAGAGTTTCTGAATATATTTATTTTATTATGATGATCGAAAATTGCACAATTATAGAATACCTGGCTATTGAAAAAGGCTTGTGATTATGTGACCACATGTGGCCTCATGTGTTTCATGTGATTACATTTTGTTGTACTGAATATAGGGTCAGGCATTAAAATTGTAAATTTTTTTATTACTAGAATGTACTATTTTTACCATTTTAAGAGAACCACATTTAAGCTATGTCAGATACAACATACAAAGAGACCGGAGTGTAGAGTTGGAAGTTTTCAACGAGATCTCGGGGGCGAAAAAGCTAAAAATCTAGGGGTAGGGACACAAAACAGTTTCCAAGGGCACATCAAGAGACAGCTAGGGGCACAAAAGTGGCCAAATACAGTAGATATTAAACACAATAAAATTTAGAGATCTGGGGTAGATTTGAGTTTAAATTATTTATACCAAGCTCTTTTCAGGGGTACTAAAACTTTTTCCTAAAAAATCTCAGGGGGCAACTCTGACCAACTGTCCAGTCTGGCAAAGAGAATAGAGTTTATTAACCCAATTGTTAAGAGTTTATTAACCCATTGTGGGAAGGCAATGTAATGTTGGTGGGCCGTGGCAACATTTTAAGGCCACATTTTGTTTTACAGAGGGTGCTCTTTCATTAACAGTTTTATTCCGAATTGTGCCTCCAAATAAGTACGGAACAGGAAATGCATTTTTCAATTTAATAGAAAATAAACTATAATCACAACTCACTGTTTTTCAAAATCCCAATTCACACTCTCAACATTTTCACTCCCCCCCCCTGTTTTCTCACACATGTTCCGCAATTCCCTACAAACTCTAAATATCCATTGTTGTCCTCCAAAATACATTAAATGCCTGAACCAAAATAACATCGATTTCCAACCCTCCCCCCCCCCATGTGACTCAGAAGGAGTAACATGTTATTGCAGAAAACCCCAATGTCTCAATGTTTAATTGTCACTCGTCCACCTGATCCAGTTCAAACAGTTCCTTATTCTTTGCTTAATCTGCTCTTTTCCCACGCCGCATTCCAGTTCCAAGGGATAAATCAGTTGAATCGGTCTTTCTACAGTTGATTTAGCGCATTGAAGCTTAACTCCCCTGACAACGTTATCTTTCTCACGAATTAACTTCGTAACCTTTCCCATTTTCCACTTGTTTCTGTCCTTCTCTTCGCCTTTAATCAACACAATATCTCCTTCCTTGGGACAAACTGCAGTTGACTTGATGTTGGTCTGATGACGCTGCCGTAAACTCGTTAGGTACTCTCTTTGCCATATATGGTTCTTTACGCTTTATAAGTACCAAGCTTGCCCTTTTCCGTAGATCACCGCCCTCAATATGATAACATTCTATCTCTGGCACAACATTCGACTGTTGCAACACAAACGAATTTGGTGTAATTGTTCAAATTGTCCGCCCCACCAGGACGCACGTGACAAATTTAATCTCCACTTGATCTCGTACTTGCTCAGTTCACTGTGGAATTTCTCATCTTTCATCACCTTGTTTAACCATGACGCAGCCGCTTGGAACTTCTTCGTATTGTACGAGTAGATAAGACTTCGAACAAAAGGGGTTGTTTCAAAACTCTTCAGAACTTCTAGGTAAACTCCTGGAATCAAACTACATGTAAATAGGACTAAGTACACTTTCCCTTCTTGGGTTTTCTTAACTCTATACATGATTGGGCCGGCGAAATCGACTCCAATAACTTTATAAGGAATAGTTCTTTCCGTTCGCGTTGTTGGTAATGGTGCAGGTGTTGGGGCTTGATAAGGTTTGGTCATGAACTTCTTGCATCGCACGCATCCCTTTCGCGACACGCATCCCTTAGGCGACGGAGACGACTTATCCAGTAATTCTCACGAATCTTCGCCGTCGTCAGAATAACTCCCCCATGGAGCTTCTCTATATGAGCTTCTTCCACAAGTTTCACAACGAGCAATCGGGTTTAGTACAGAATCTGTACTAAAACCACTAATTCTGTTTTGTGATTGGCGCGGTTTAATCAAAGAATCCTCCCGTTGAACCAGAGCCTTCACGACGTTTCAATTTATTATTTACTGAAGGCTCTGGAATCCAGGGTAGCTTGTATGTTGAACTGGACTGAATGATTTGGACATTTTGGATTTTCTTTCACCTCTGCTTGCACTTGTTTGATCCATCATAGACGTTGTTAGTCAATCTCATCGGTTGTTAATGGACCATGTTGCCTGTTGTATACGTTCGCGCGACTGTTGTCGTGGAATCTCTTTATCCATGCACAAATTCTTAGGGTTTTCGTCAACGAATGCTTCCTCAGAATATCTCTCAGGATCGCTGATTCCACTCGTTCCACACCTACATTGAGTATCGCTCGCGTTGCTTTGGATTCACTCTGCGAATCGGCAGATGGTTTGACAACGAGGTTTGGTGGCCAATGACTACGATCTGGTAGCCAAGTAGGACCCTTTAACCAGAGCTTTGTGAGTTGACCACCCCTGCTTCCGAGGTCAGCAGGGTTCTCTGTTGTCAGTGCATGATTCCACTCGATTCCTTCAGCATCTTTGCTACTCGATTTACCACGAACTGCTTATACTGGCATTCTCATTTGATTGACCATAAAGTTACTGTGCTATCTGACCAGCAGTGCGTCTCGTGTGGAATATGATAAAGAGCTCTGCTTGTATTGTTGACCAAGTTGGTTACCATGTGGCATGCAACAAGTTCTAACCTTGGTTTGGTCAGTCCTTTCTTCGTAAGTCTTGCTTTCGCAGCTAGTAACTTTCGAGTAACACCAGATGGTTGTCTTGCAACTGTGTACATCGTTGCACACAGTCCCTCGCCACTGGCATCTCCGAACCCATAAATCTCCAATTTCTCCACCGACTCTTGGAAGGGTACAATTGGTTTTGGTACAGCCACTTCGCTAGCAGGTTATCTTCCCATTTTCCCACCGCTTCTTATGGCTCCTTTCAATTCTACATCCCCTGGTAGCTTGTGGTCACATACTTCTCGGTAGACTTGTTTTCCTTACAACAACAGAGGTGAGGCAATTCCTATTGGGTCGTAAATCTTAGCTAAACGACTAAGGATGCTGCGCTTTGTAGGACTTTCGCTGTTGGATCCCAGTTGCACAGTCACTTAGTGTATCGTTCTCTTTTTCCTGTTTTACACCCAGGATCTTCGTTTCTGTTGGCTTCACACCGAGCTGTTGTTTTGCTGCTGTTTGTTCCTCGCGATCTTCTTTGTTGTCACTTTCTCCGTCCAGTTCGTTCGCAGTGGACGCCCATTTATGAAGTGAAAAGGTTGCATCACCCAGTATATCAATAGCTTCAGACTTGCGCTGGTTATCGACATACAGACTTTTCGTTAGCGTGTCCACTGCTTTTAGAGCTTTGCTCTTCCAGTAATCTAAGTGCGCTTCCAAAACTCCGCCAAGCGAATGGTGATGATGCCAAACCGAACAATACTCTGGTGAATCGCAATACCTCCACATCAGTTAGTGGGTTTGCTCGCCGATGAATCTTAGCCAGAAGGACTGGGACTAGCAACAGAATAGAAATCCAGTTTCGTACCTTTAATCACTTGTCACGCCCTGATTCTTTTGCGAAACTGTTTGAAAGTTTGTGTCTGTGTCTTGCACAGAGAGATGAATATCTGGGACAAATTTGAGATATAAATCTAGTATCGTTAATGAGATATTGAGTAATTTTAAACCAGAAATGGATTTCTATTTTACAACTAGTGCCAGGCGTTTTCCGAGTTCCGAGATCACCTGGAAGTTTGTTCTGAAGAGGGGGACCCGCGCAAAGACATTCGTTTAAGGATGTGCTTACAGGAGAGGCTTTCGCAGAGGCATCATGCATGTATATAACTCGCAGCTTTGTTGACTGTGCCAACTCTCGTACAACTTTCCTTATGGGGTGTGTAGAATTCTTTACCTGCGGCTTCGTTATTTGGTTGTTGATTCCTTCTTGTTTCTGCTGCTCGATCACTGTGTTGTAGTCTTCGATTAAGTCCTTTCGTTGCAGGCGACGTTCCAAAGATTGCAATCGGCGGATGCTTCCGATTTCATTTGATGGTAATGGTGGGTGGTTTCCGCGCCTGGAAGCAAGTTTGCCAGATATGTATGAGGTACTAGTACCAGAGTCTATCAGTGCTCGACATGTTATTCCATTCACCTTGACTACCACAACAGGGAAAATTTCTTCAGTTGTGCTTCCGCTTGCAGTTAACACTTTTCGACCAGCATTGGCTTTGTCATCTCGATCTTTGGTATCACATATACAGTACTTGTTTGGTGGCATTTGTTGCATTTTCGACATGTTGACTCACTAAGGCAAGCATTTACACGATGTTGCCCTGCTGCACAATTGAAGCAGAGTTTCTTTTTTGCTAAAACTCCTCTTCGTTCGTTGACACTAGTGACCACTTCACATTCCCCCGTCTTGTGCTCGCCTTCGCAGCAGACACATACCTTTGTGGCTTTTGTTTGATATACTTTACCAGGCTTCCCAAATTTTCCCTGATGCATCCGACTTCTCATAAACAGGATTTCGCTTGGTCCATTGTCTGATCGTTTCAGCAAGTTTTGCAAAATCCCAGCTCTCCCAGTCTGGGTCATCCTTTACCAAGTCACCCCGTATAGCTGGAAGCTTATCCAATGTCATGGAAACGTTTCCTTGAACATACTTCAGTTTATTTAGTTTCGCAAGGGCTTGAACATAGTCTATATAATTCAATTTCATGCTGAATTCTGCTATTTTCTTTGGGTTGGCTCCAGAAATGTGTGGCAAATCCATTGATCTCTTTAATATAGGCTTTGACAATCTCCGGAGTTTTGCCATATTGATCTTGCAAAATTGACCGGTTGTATCCCTCCGTAGTAATGGCAATAACTCTACAAGACGTTTAACATTCGGTCCCAGAAACCCACACAGATATGTAAATTTGTTGATAGCAGCTACTGTATATTTGACTTATCCTCCATCTCTGTGAATTGCCCCCAAAATCTTGGCAAATCCATGTATGACCCATCAAATTGCACAATATTAATTTTTGGTAATCTCACTGACATACAGTACTTTTCATGCCTTCCCCCGTCTCAGTTTTCGAGGTGCTATGCCTCCCCCCGTTTTGTATCCTGAATTTTAGCTTGCATTTGAAGCTTCGTTTCTTCCAATTTCATTTCGAATTTAAGTTGTTCTTCTCGAGCGTAGTTTTCTTCTTCCATGTTTTTGTCGTCGAGTCATTGTTGAAGCCGATTTACTTCGTCTTCATCTATCTTCACTTCAATTTCCGTATTCCAGTCGCTAATCTCTGATATAGGTCTTCTTTCTTACCAATTTTTTCAGCCTCAACCGTACGTTTGCACTGATCTGTTTCGCTTATTGTTGTCTGGAGTGCCTTTAAATGCCGTTCCATTGCTTCTCGTTTTCCAGCAACAAGTGTTTTCCCGGTTCTTTGCGCCGCTAATTTCAACTGAGTGAGTTTTGTATCGAGTTTCGCTTCCTCGTTCGCCATAATAAATTGCTCGCTAGCGTCGAAATAAATTCCAAAATATCACAAATATATTTTCGTCGGTAGGTGCCACGTATTCCGAATTTTGCCTCCAAACAAGTACGGAACACGAAATGTATTTTACAATTTAATAGAAAATAAACTATCACAACTCGCTGTTTTTCAAAATCCCAATTCACAGTCACAACGTTTTCACTCCCCCCTGTTTTCTCGCACATGTTCTGCAATCCCCTACAAACTCTAAATTGTCCATTGTTGTCCTCCAAAATACATTAAAGTGGAAGTCAACTCCGTAATGTAAACAAACGGTTTGTTTACATTTTGAACTGCTGTATTTTTAAAATATGATGTACTGTCTGAATATCTAACACCATTTTGGTTCGCTATGCTTCTAAATGAATATGAAACAGAGTTTATGTTCAGAAAAATTCGAAACATTCGAAATTTGGGCAATGTTCACGTTAGAGGTCCTCACATTGTTATGAGCAGAACTGATGCGCAGAACGGACTTGACTTCCCAAAATAACATCAGTTTCCAATAGTTTTTGCATGACTTTGCATGACTTTTGATCACTTCTATTGCAAATTGCTCTAACAAACAGCTGGAAAGTGCTAGATTTTAGAAACAAAAGGTGCCAACGTTTGAAAATAAACACTTCTCTCTAATAGCTAGACACCTCTAGAAAAATGCCCCTCAGACCAGCACCAAACATATATGAATAGATTATTTGCAGTACTACTATCATTTTCAATTTCTCCACGCTAATATTGCTGAGCAATTGTACATATTAGTATTAAGTGATTGAATAATTCATACTTGTGCCACGATATTGTTTGATACTATGAGTAAATTAAATAATTCAAATATTCACACCTTGTTCTAAACTGTAACAATGTACTAATTGTAATGTCAGGTGTTGGGATGAAAAGAAAATTGTCTCGAAAAGAAGAAAGAAGGGAGCTTCGCAACCAAAAGAAAGCAAAAAAACATTCCTTCTTTTCAAATAAAACAGGAAAAAAGGTAATCTGGCTGTCTGAAAATTTGATTCATTTGATACTTACATGTAACATAGACAAACTTGAAAATTCTTGTTGACATCTAAGTTAAACACACCAATCCATATAACTTCTAGAATCATACAGTAGTAAATGATAGACCTAACAAAAGATATCCTGTACAGTAGGTCAGAAAAAACGTTTTGTTTGTCATTGTCAGCAATGGTCAAGCCAAGTGTGATCAGCTGGGTTCCAATAACTGACAATGATGCCATTTTTGGATTATACATTGCAACTGCTTGCAAGTTGGGTCAACATGTAAGCAGACAGCCACAAGTCCACAATCACATCGAGAAGCATTAGAGTTGGAATAAGGTGGTTGGTTGGGAAACTAGAACCACAGGATATTTTTGTTAGGCCATATGTACTAGTTTGTTTACAGTATGGCACCACCCCATGAGAAGAGACAATATTTGTCATCTTACTTCATTAATTAATTTATTAAATTTTAACTTAATGAAGGATGGTAACGAAAAAATAGAACCACATGAGAATGTTAGTAAATTTCCTGAGAAAGTAAAACGAAAGAAGAAAAAGAAAAGAAAAAAGAAAAACCAAGAACAAACAGAGGTAAACTATTTCTTGTATTAATATTTTGAGTAATATAAAGTCATCATACTGTAACTATAGTTGATAGTCCTACTGTAGTTTGTTTCTAGATTTTCGATACTTGTGTGCATGCTTAAATTTCAAGTAGTTAACTTTGTATGCTGTACAGTATATAATTATTATGTTCTCTGAATGTTTGATACAATGCGAACATGCAGGAAACAACTATGATCAGTGAAGTACTGTATCATTGATAGCTGCTCAGTAAGTATTCATTTGACTAAGATTTTATTAATCCTGGAATTATTTAGACGTTTTAAGTTTTTCAGGGAGTTGATCCTCAATCCTTAAACAATTCTTCAACAAAATTGCTATATATAGTTCACAGTCTGTTCGTTACGGCGCCACCTACACTGGAACACCACATTCTGTACAAATCTTTAAGATACACTCGGCACCATAGATTGATATATGTGATATACAGATTTTCAGCGTTACATACTATATGCTTTCCCGTTCCATTTAGCCTGATTCTGTAACCAAACAGCGTCCAATCTCTATTTATGATGATAACGATGATGTTGAAATTGAGGAGTTGGAACGGAAGTTAAAGGTCAATAAGAAAACAAAAATACCCAATGTTTTCTTTGAAGATGGTTTGGGTGGTATCCTTTCAATGAATTTACTAATATTGAACAAATACACCTGAATCTGTATGGGAAACGCAATCCGCCGATTGATTACGAGTTCAACTGGAACGCATACTGTAGAGGACGGAGGCGTTCCCAATTTGTATGTAGGTAATGCTACTCGCACGCCATATTTTACTAAACGTACATGATTTTGTTTGAAAAATGTTGGATGGTACAATAAAATTTCCATTCCGAGATAACAGATAAGGTAGAAATTCCTGTATTTTGTTGCATAAGTTGAATTTGTAAATGGTCGAATAAAGTCCGAAACGATCCTGAGCTTTAGACATAGATATTCTTGATATGTGCAACGCCATTGAAACTGGCAATCTCAAGTCACAGGTGGAAAACTATGAAGAAAATGATGATACTGATGATGGGGGTGATGATGGAGTGGACTTTGGTAATAATGAAAAGGTATAATGTACAGAAACTATCAGGTTGTTGGGCATCTCACTCGATAGAACTAAAAGTTGAAGGGTTTTGATAGATGGAAATTTGGAGCGTCATTTTTATACATTTTTAGACCATGCAGGAGCAGCTGCAAGAAATGCAACTATAGGAATGAACATGCGATTCCGGTGCAGCGCTCTAACCAACTGAGCTACATTTGACGAGTATTCACTGCAAGTTGATGTAAACAACTCAACTAAAAAAATTTCGGCGCATTTGTAATTGCATGCAAAATACTGCTGAAAATGCTCCGATAACCTCTACAGATATCTGTTTCCGCTGAGAAATGGCGCGAGGTCCTTAAAATATCTGGAATTATCCGTGGGCTTTTAACGAATGAGAAGACGAGAACAGAGTACAATGAATAATAATTACTAAAATATTGTAGCTACCAGATGATGGATACCTGGAAGACTCAGAAGAAGATATGAACTCTGATGACGGCGATGAGTCGCACAATGAAGCTGAGGGTGGAAATGAATGTAGAGACGAAAGCAGAGGTGAATCTGATGATGAAAACGAGGGAGGCAAGGAGGGGAAAGACGATGGAAAAGATGTAGAGGAATGGGAGAAGGGGGGAGATGAAGAATTGTCAGAAGAAGATGAACTGCCAGAACGAACTAGGTAACTTATATAAAGTTTATGCGCTGTATATTCGTATATATCGGCTACGTGCTTGATAATACGATATTTAGACGGTAAGGGGAAAAATTATGGATGTTTATGTGATCATTAATATTAACTGTAAGCAAGCATTAAAAGTCAGCAGAAAGGTGGTCAACTGCAGAAATGCTAACAATTATATACTGTACAAGAAAGTAAACTCCATCTCTCAATTCTGTATTCCTCCAAACGCAAGACTAGTAAACATACAATGAAAATAATTTAAGGGATTTTTTACTCTGATAGTTGCCAGTATAACCAGTAGACTACATCTCCTGCACCATAGTGCTTGTTCAAACACATAGTACTGTATGTTTTTAACGTACATGTTATCATTTTACTAATTTTATCCAGTTTGTTTAATTTTCATACATTTGATTGAATTGTCCGAGGTATACAGTACAAGGTTAGTAGAGTTCGACGATACTAACAGCTTCAATAATTTAATTTAGTTCTGAAGATATATATGGTGGCGCCACAGCTAAGTATGTTCCACCTCATCAGAGGCAAAATCAGAGTGGACAGAAGCAAGCAAATGCAAGGTTAAGAAAACAAGTGAAAGGTCTTTTAAACCGGTACGTTTCTAATTTAACTTGTGTATGAAGTGTTTGTTTTTAAAAAATCTGCATAATCGCGATAATTGGGGCATATTAATATATTCGTGTTCTGCCCTACTGATTTCTTTTGAAAGCGATTGTTTTTACGGTATGTGAACATGAATATATGAATATGCACCCCCCTAAATATTGTCAATTTAAAACAATTACCATTGATGCTCGAAAAGAGACGCCAATAATATTTATATAACAGCAATATAAGCAATACGTACTGAACTTCAGACATCATTTTTTCTTTGGTGTACCATCTAAAATCTTTTCATTTTAGCATTATTCTACAGACAAAGCACTAAACATATACTTTTTAAGTTTGTTTGCCGCTTGAAAAACGTATCAAATAGCGAAAAAATTGAATATAGTCATAACCAAGTGGAAAAGTATATTAATTAGTTTTGAGCGCGTGTTACGTAACATACAAAATATTTTCCTCTTAATTGTTTTATATAGTTTAAGTGAGTCAAATCTTGCAACAGTCAGTGGTCAACTGGAGGAACTGTACATGTGTAATAGTAGAAATGGTGAGTTAAACATTTTTATAACTTTAAATAATTTTCAAACTTTATTTAATTTATCAAGGATAATACTAACTTAAGGTTTAATATTTAGGTATTTTAGCAAGGTTTCTGTATTATCATTAATGAATCAAATAAAATTTGAACAGTTAGTTATAATATGAACAAATGTGAAGGTTTTAGACGAAAAATCCCTTTTTGTTCGCGGTATAGGCTGCACGAGGCAGAATTAGTGGAGAGTTTTGTCTCACTGAAATGTACGAAGTATTTTGGTGTCGACCTAACCCGACCCTACTTTGGAGGTTTTGCTGTCATTGTTAATTCTGAGACTAATTTTCAGGCCTTTACCAATGCCAGCTAAACTGTGACCTACATATACATACCAGGGTCTTAGCTATACAACCCGGATTTGTACTAGATATTTATTGGTTGATTTTACTTCCGAGAAAATGTTGTCTAACCCAATTGTATGTGTTTACATGTGCCTAGCAATTTTTCGTTTTGTGCTCGTCTACATATGCATGCTTCCCAACCTTTCGTCAATCCCTGCTCTGCTGGCTTCTATACGTATTTGATGGTACAACTACGAAGAGGGTCCTGAAGGGCTAAAATGGGAACTGGGATTGATCTATTTTTAGACTGGGAAAATGGGATTTGGGTTGCTGGGACTGGGATTTGGCCACTGGGAATGGGAAATGAAGTCCTCAAAAATGGGAATGGGATTGAGGTAATGTGAGTCAATTCCCAATTTTTCTGCGTTTTGAGTATTTTAAAATACAATTTTGATCCGTTTTTGGTGTCTTTGGTCATGATTTTTGTTGTTAACTATATTATCCACAGCACCACCTGCGAACAGGGATACTCTGGCGCCCGGAATTCTGGGTTTTCTGATTATGCGTGTCTCAGAATGCTGCAAATGCCATTTCCGGGATTCAAATTTAAGTGTCCGCCACTTGCTTAAAAGGTCTTAAAACTGTTTATTCTACCGATAAACAAAGGGTTTTTTATTGACTGGGATTTCAATAACTGGGACTTCTAATAAAAATCCAACTGGGACTGGGATTTTGCCAAAATTTCAGGTGGGAAATGGGATTGGGACCCCCCTTCAGGACCCTCTACGAAGGATAGCAAATGGTATGTCTTTTCTGTACGTGTAGATCTGAATGAGATACTCTCAGATCTTCTTATGGAAGCCTGTATTTCATCATCTTTGATGCCAGAAGGATTGTTACGTGAACATATCATGTTGATAGCTGTTCTTCATTCTCTCATTGGATCAGAAGTTGGTAAATGTCCTTTTATTTAAGAATGTATCTTGTTGATGCACCATTTCCTTTTATGTAATTCAATTCTTAAGGATCTGCAGATTTTTGATATTATCGAAGGTATTATTTCATAGAGTCTGCACCTGCTATATATACCATTCAGCTATATGCAAGACTTATACTTCTGACTGCATAATACCAGGATGTGCAAAACCTTCACAGAACAAAGAGAAATTGGAACAAAAATTTGGAAAATTATGCGTTATATAGAGCAGTATATAATGTGACATCAAGAATTAACCTGTCAAACAAGGATCAGAGATTATGAGAGTTGGCAGTCACGTATTGTTACGGGGGCACATTTCAAGCTCTAGATTAACAAAATAAAGGTTTGACAAGTGTTCCAACATATAGAATATAGTTACATGATAGTGTTGGGATAACATTAAGAACAGTTAACCATGCAAGGTCGCGGTACTGCCACCTCTCATGCGCTCTCATGATCGTTTGATCCAGCCCTTACTTTATTCAAACACTAGAAGCGGAATATGTTCGGTTATCAAACCTTGGTCAAATATTTTCATGTCATTGAAAGTAGGGTTCACAAGATGGCTCTTAGATCTCGAATCCCGTTCTCAACTTTTCCGTAGATATTTTTCATCCCTCGTGTTTTTCAATCCTATTACCAAAATAAACATCATCCCGCGTCCCACAAAAACCGATTGTGGATAGTAACTAAATAGCGAACAGGAAACTAAAATCATACAAAATATATTATATTTCAGGAGCGTTTCTTCTTCAAAGACTAGTTCTGCAGTTTCAGAAGTTTCATTCTGCTGAGGATGGCAGTAATGACAGTAAAGAAATTAATAACATTCTCACTCTGTTAGCCTTTCTCTATAATTTCAAGGTAGGTTTCATAGTCTGTTTCTGGTCAGCGCGCGCATCAACTTTTTTTGCAAATATTGTCCATCTATATATATCCTTGCAAAAGAAAATATCACTGAAAAAAATACTGAAAATCCATACTATGGAATTTGCAATGGATGATTCCAGCTATTGACTAATATGTTATCTATAGACAAGAAAGACGAAATCTATCATTATATATAGAGCTCAAAAGAGCATCCTAAAATTGATAAACTTGCAAAGTTTGGTTGCGAAATGTTGTAAAATACGAAAAATATAGCCCTGTGAAATTAGAAAATTTTGAGTATTTTAGTATTACGCGCGGAAAAATGCACCACTTTCGGCTTTACATCATAAAAAATATTTTTCGAAATGAAACTATTAAGAGCGTAAACTGTAGATGTTCTGTTTTTTTGAAAACTTTCATCATTACTGACATCATATCATGAAACCATTTTCTTACTGTAGGTAATTGATTGTGTGTTGATCTACGATATTTTCCGGGAACTGGTGACTAAATTTCAGGAGAAGGATGTTGAACTATTATTGTTATTAATACGACGTACGTGAGTTTTATCTTCTCGACAACTTTAGTTCATGTTTCATAGTAGCACAATGAATCTTAGTATAGGACAGGGCCGCCGAGAGGGGGGCAGGGGGGGGGGCGGCAAATTGCCCCGGGCCCCGAGTTGCTGGGGGCCCCTGAAAAATTTTTGTTGGGCCCCAGTTTTTCTTGTGTGTTAAATATTTCGCGCAAAGGACAAGATATCTGTTTTCTTGGGCTAAGTACCGAATTTTGTCATAAAAAAATGAGATAAAGTCCCTCGAAAGCAATTGCAACGTATTCGTCCGGAAAAATTTAGTACTCCGGAAAAAATTTTTACCCCTAAAGTGGTACACTGACCGAAAATTTTTTGGCGGTGGGGGGGTGGTTGTTCTCCGGAAAAATTTTTTTAGATAGGGCCCCCCCCAAAAAAAAATTTGCCCCGGGCCCCCGCCAACCTCTCGGCGGCCCTGGTATAGGATGAACCTTTACACATTGTTCATCCTCCTTATCTAAGTTCCTTGATGGTTTGCATGACGATAAATATAATCCATTTGTGCAACACATGCTTTTAGCTGGGATGTCAAAACCGTCCGTGCAAAAATACCGTACTGCATGCATGCATGGATATTGTCCGCTGTTTTGGTGAACGTGACCAAACAGCATAATTCAGCGTGTTTTAGAACAAAAATATCAAAGAAAAGGAATAACAAGGGAAAACAGCAGCTGACAACTTAGAAATATAGCAAAGTTTCTATGCTGTCATTCAAAGAAAATATTTGTGTAGACCTTTCATGATCGTCTATTAAAAACTGGCCATCCATAGGGCGCCTGGCTAAGGCCTGGTGAAAACCACGTTTACTTTTTTCGCGAAGCTTTCATTGTAATTTCATGAATTATTACCGTTGGAATATCTCGAGTCCAATAACCTCTACAGATATATCTGTTTTTCGTATACCTACAGTAGAACTGTTTCTAGGCTTTTGGCCAACTAGGAAACGAAAGCAAAGTACAATGAATAATTATATTGCGTTAGATTGACTCACAACTCGCGAAAGCTCATGTGGTATGCAAATTTAGAATTAACAATTATTGGATGAGGTTTTTGTGATATGCGGAATTATCAAGGTCGAGGTAACTGATAACGCTTACCGAGACCTTGACAATTTTGCATATCGCAAAAAACGAATTCAATAATTGTTTTATTATACATTTGTTTGTGTTTTGTGTTAAATAGATACCGCTTGCTAATCATCGCAGGCTCATTTGCAGATAACTCAATTATCTGCTAGCAGATAACTGAATTTTCTGTAGGTTGCGTGATTGCGCTGTTTAACTGTAAGCTCTTAGCCAATCAAATTTATTTTACCAACTATACAATGTATAATAATACGTATTATTATACATTGTACTTGGTAAAAGCAATTTGATTGGCTAAGAGCTTACAGTTAAATCGTGCAATCACGCAACCTACACAAAATTCAGTTATCCGCTAGCAGATAACTGAATTGAGGTTGAATGAGTGTACATTTCAAATGAGTGTACATTTCAATTTTCAAATGAATGTACATTTCATAATTGTAATGTTTACTTTAACAAGCAAATATTTTAATACGTTAACATCTTAACGAGTCGATAATATGTTTCTTCTATATTTGTAATTAATTTAACTGTTGGACTTTTTACTTGAACAGCTTTGCCAGAAATCATATTGAATATAACGCTTACCTAGACCTTAATAATTTTGCATATCGTAAAAACCGAATTCAATAATTGTTTTATTATACATTTGAAGAATAATAAACATAGTATTAAAATAGTATGTTTATTATTCTTCAAATGTATAATAAAACAATTATTGAATTCGGTTTTTGCGATATGCAAAATTATCAAGGTCTCGGTAAGCGTTATCAGCCTCGCCTTCGGCTCGGCTGATAACGCTTACCTCGACCTTGATAATTCCGCATATCACAAAAACCTCATCCAATAATTGTTAATTATTGGTAAGCAATTATTTTGTATATGCTTGCTTTTCACGAATATACAAAATTTCTGATTTTTAGATGTTGGAGTGGAAATAAGACGTGAGAATCCAGAGTCTTTGAAAGTAAGTACATCCTTGTGTCTTTTCAGCCTTTTAAATTGAGTGATGGTTTTTAATTGTTATGGTTATTCTTGGGTTTCAATCACGTGATAATTTTAGCATAATTTGACTCGGGTGGGCAATCATTGAACTGAGGTCAACCAAAACAACAAAGGAACGAAATAGCTGTCAACGCATCTTATGTAAATGAGTTCTCCGACTATTATAAAAGCTAATATAAACAATATATAAACTTGACGTCCACGTGACGTCATATGAAACCCAAGAATTTGGAGCGAAGTTGGCAAGGCTAAAATGATGTGGTGTTGTAGTGGTAATAAAATATGTACAGCTTCGAGGAAACGTACAATTTAGTCCAATACGTTGGCACATTTTACACGTACTAGGCTAAGATATTTACAAATTTCACTCGTTAATCTTGACTTCCACCATATATGGTCAATTTTTCATTTGAATTTGTCCTCAATACAGTATATCTTAGGAAGATAGATTCAGTTAGGATTTAGATTTATTGCAATGAGTGCGAAACTCTATACTGATTGTAGTACAAATATTTACAAACTTAACTGGGTAAGGTAATGATTGTTTTCAAAATTTCATGTGGTGCGCATGCTCACATCAACATTAAAAACCATCATTCAAAAGGCTGCACCGTGCTTTTAATTTGCTGTCAGTGGGGACATAATTAAGATTGCAACATAACAGAATATATATTTTTGTGAACTAACATCTTTTCCATCGGTTTAAAAATTAAAAAAAATTTTGTGTGTAATACTATGTATTGCGTGTGTGTTTATGTGACATATTGGGAAATGTGTGACATATGTGACATATTGGGAAATATTTGCTTCTTAACGGAATATCTCCGTTTTTAAAGGAAATTATTCTTGAAATCCAAGCCAAAGCTGTGAGTGATTCTGAGATGACCAGCAAGTGAGTATGGTATATTCCTGCTACATCTTTTCACCTCCATTACTGTTTCTATGTGCAACTATTTAGTTTGTACATGTTTACGTTTTGTTTGACATTTACAAGTTGCTAAAGCTCACGAACAATCCCATGTCACACACCTGGCTGAATTCGTAACCTCCCGCTCTTGCCTTTATTACTTAAATACAGCATTATTCAATTTTTAGCTCAAGAACGAGGTTTATGTTGGAAATCATCAATGCTTTGCGAAACAATAACATTCGCAAAATTCCTAATTATGATCCAGCACCGGTAGAAAGAGCGAGAAAAATATTGAAAAGCATTGCAGGTGTGTGCTTATACTGTATAGTGTAGTTGGTATTGCGAACCATAATTGCAATATCTGCTGCACTGATAATCATTTAGTTCAAGATATTATAATCCAATATATACAAACAGGTGGGAAATTTGTCTGAGCATGCGCGAGTAAAATGAGTCACGCAATTGTGTGGAATACACGCAACGCGTGTGTACAAAAAAGCATGCACAATCGTGTAAATATTGCAAAATGTTTGTACAAAATAAATGACTGTTTTATGTTGAAAGAGTGGACATGTTCTAAATTAATCATACAGAATTTTTTAGTGACGTTCTATTTCAGTACCCTGCCATTGTCTCTGGTGAGCTGTCCGTCTGCATTCGATCTGAAACAGTTGCTACTTTGCTGTCGAAGAATTTCGAATGTTTGCATGAAAATAGAGGCAAGTCATGCATTTTACAACCTCTTAAACTGTATGAGCCCCTATTTTTACGCTTATACCCAAGATATCAAATAAAAGTACATGAAACAGAGAACATTTGTAGAAAGTTTTATCGTGAGGCCACGGCCAGTTTTTAAAATATCTTTATTTCTGTTCCGGTCATCACCAAAATTACACAAAAGCCGGGCTTGAATATACAACAAATTTTGAATCGCATCAAGCACAAAAATACTTAACGTGTAACCAAAATATGCTCATGAAATCGAAATTAATAGCTAAATTTTCAAACTAGACCCTTCTCGAAGCGGTTTTCATGAAGGAAGTTCACATTTCGGCCTTTGATTCTTGGCAAAAATTTGACCACAACACGTGCGAAGCAACTGGGTCTCAAAGACTGAACTAAAACATTGTGAGCCCCTATTTTCCTGACGATATGTTTGATACCTACAAACGCCGAAAAGTTTTTTCTTTTCATTTAGCTATATTTGAAATTGAGGCCACGGGCTATTTTTGAGAAAATACAGTTCAAAGTCTTATCCCATACCTGTGTTAAAAGCAACCTCGTCCCCAGGGCCTATTGAGGAAGGAGGCGAAGCAGCAAAGGCCCTGGTAAAGGCTGGTCACGTGATGCTTCAAATTTTGAATATTTCAGAAATTTAACTTTTCAAACCGGGGGTGCGGGCCGCTTTGATTTTATCAAACATGGCCGTGCAAAGGGGCGATAGAATTAACCTTTTCCGACTGAAACCAGAGACTGAAACTATGATGATAAACTTTTCAACTGACAGTGGAAATACTGTAAATATATAGTCTGCGATGTTCTTCAAGAAAATATGGAATATAATCAACAGCAATACTTGTGGAAGATCAAGATTCAAAGAGAAGAGTCTAATTGACTGACAACAGTAAATATTTCTTTTCAGCTTGGAAGCGTGTTTTATAATATTTGTCGTTTGGGAGTCAATAACATACTGTCACTACTGTCAGTGAAGAATTTGATTTGGGACTTTGATGTACCTTTATGAAAAGATTACTACTGAATACAAATGTGCATGTAAAATGTGATTAGAACGTCAGTTTAATATGAACAGTTGCACTGTCATTGACTCAATATATTTTAATGTGGGACAAACATTAAAAACATTAAAGTACTGTGCCAAGTGACAAAATTCCATGCTGACCATGGGTTACGTATGTATGCATTTTTATTAAACGTTTATACCAATATACACTATTTTAAACCTTTGTGTGTGAATTTTGTGTGTTGATTTTATGATATTTGACAACCATGAATATTAATAATATAATATGTTAACAGCAAGTTTACAGTATATCGTATAATACAAAAGCAATATCACTGATATTATCACAAGACTCAAGTACTGTACATGGTCTAATAGATGTTTCTTAGTCAGCAACTATGCTCTTTGACATTGTGGCAAGCGTTATATTGTTGTTAGCTTGGTTTTTCACTTTTTTGATACAACTATAGAATACCCACAACTTTCACACCTTACCGCTATTAATTCCTTGTAAACCAAACTAACATACTCATATGATTTAATCTCTAAACTTTACCTTAAACTATTTTGAAGTGATTCTTGTACTTATTTATGTGTCAATGAATGCGGAAAAATGGCGAGGTATTCTATAAGCATTCCGGCATGTGTGTTTTTGAACCTTCACTGTTGAGAGAGCATGCCATGGGTCTCCCCAAATTATCTGAGCACTTCAACCAGACCAACAGCTGCCAAATGGCAACTATGCTCAGAGGTGTAACTTAACACTTGCCCGGGGCAAGTAAATATCATGATGGGCAAGTAAAAGTTTCCTCTTGGGCAAGTTGCTTTGCCACAAAAAGCTGGCCAGCTTTCAGTTCATATTATTATTGTCGGATAGAATAAAGGCTGTTCGGCGATATTGGTTCAAGCTGGCAAATCATCTGCATCAAATTCATCTAAATTGTTTGATTATATTATGCATTTGATTCTCTTTTTGGTTATTAAATGTTTATTCATAATATGATAACCGAACGAAATATGGCAGGACTTCATTTATGGCAGGACTTAATTTGGGACTTTATTAGTCCTGTTGTCTGTGCCTTCAATTTCGTATTGTAAAACTAATAAAAAAATAAATAATGGTGATTAGTGTTACATTAAACAAGTGTACTTGATTCAAATTTTCTTATTGATTATTGATTTGCCTACTGAGGTACACATTATTGAACAGTCAGTTGTGGTGAGTGATGCTGAACTGCCTGTTGTATGTTGTGAGTGATTTTGAGCGCCTGTTGTGATGAGTGACACTGAATTGCCCCAATTGTGGCTCAGGAAATGTACCTGCTGACTTGTCAAATAATCTCCTTAAATAATGTTCTGGGAAGTAATTTGTGTAATTGATTACAAACAAAAACAAGGGCTTGTTAACAGTATAATGAGGAAATTAATTCCATCTCATTATATTATTCAGTCTTGATAAAGCATATGGAGGCTTTCTGTCTGATTTGATCCTCATGCATGTAATTGTTTGGGAATGCCTGATCATTAAGATCACAACATTTGTTTTGAAGCTTGGCCTTTGAAATCTATATGTGTGTTCACTATATGTGTGTTCACAATGTTCTTGGGATAAGAATGAAAATCAAATAAAATATTTCAACTCAATTAAATTCAGCAAATGTTAATTTAACCACGGAGGTCAACCAGGTTATACTCAGGGCATATGGCTAACATAAGCATTTAAATTCCAAGTGCATACGATGTTGACATTCTTTGTTTTTCAGACATTCTTTGGGTCTTGCATCCCTTTAACTGTTAAATATACTGTATGATATTGACATTTGTAAGAAAGATCTATTGTAGCAACAATAACTATTAAATGTTTTGATGATCGTGGATATGGTGTATTGAGAGTCCATATTATTAAATTAAAGTGATTTTACATATCTGTTTCACAATCGAGGCAGCAATTTCCTTGCGACAGTATTAAATTCATAGTAAATATTTCTATCGATCCATTCGTTTTGCACTGTTGCTTTGTCTATTTAATAGATCTCCTTTACAGTTCAACCAAGGTTCTCAGAGCTAATTTGAAGACAATTTCAAATTTATTCAATATTTTTGGAAGAACTTTAACAGATTTTTTCATTTTAAAATAGATTTTTGTTCTTTATTTGTCGATTTCGGTGTTTATGCATTATATTGACGAATATATTGTAGCTAAAGCGATCCGCGATCGCACCCCCCTGTATAGTATTTGCTCCGATATATCACGTGACAAAATAATCCACAATTTGTGGATTATTTCACCAGCCTTTACCAGGGCCTTTGCTGCCCTTCGCATCTTTCTTTAAAAGGCCCTGGGGACGAGGTTGTGTTAAAAGCGGCTTTCTGATTGGTTTAGATATGGCCGAACTCACCTGCTTTTCGCCCGAGCTCACCCGCTAAACTGCTTACGTTGCAATAACAATAACAAATATGGCGGACAAGATTTAGACGATAAACCTAAACTTTAAAGAACTTTTATCGGTGACTAACATACTGAGACTAAAGAAAAACCAAAGAAAAAATGCAGTAAAGGTAATGTAGACGTAGATAAAGAAGTATTTTCTTGCCCAGTGTTTTTTTTTGGCCGGGAAAATGTTCACAAAACATCGACGAATATATCGCGAAGAGCTACAAATGTGTGTATGGCTCGGTGTATGGGATAAAAACCAAACGTACTTGCAGGTTCGGTGAGTCCGGGATTGGACGCACCTCGGGTGGCTGGAAGTTTCCCGAACTCACCTCGCTTCGCTCGGTAAGTTCGGGAAACTTCCAGCCACCCTCGGTGCGTCCAATCCCGGACTCACCTCCCTGCAAGTACGTTTGTTATAAAGCTATTTTTACATATTTTCAAAATTTGTCAAATTTCGCGAGCTTGTATTTTGAACTTAGACAGCTGAAGTTACATTAACAAACATAGGATGGAAAATTTGAGGCATACAAAGTTAATTTCAACTTACATTTCATTCTCAAATCACGTCTTTCTTCGTTTATTACGGTTTTAAACAAGCCATAGATCGACGTATACGGTATTTACTCCCATGTTCACGTCGCCATATTAACTTCTTCCAATCACTCGATTACGAAACAATCATCCCAAAACAAAGAATTCATGATCGACTTTTAAAAGAATAACCAATAATTTGTAAATCATTGAATGGAAAGCAAAAAATCGTCAGCTAAAACAGCTTCTTGCTAACTTTCTGCTTTGTTTTGAATGTAAATGCAATGAGCTTTGTTTCTGCTCGCAATTTTTTGGTCAGCGACGACAAATTTCCCACCTGTTATATATACAGCTATTTCAATTAAGGTTGTCCCCGAGCAAAGTGGAAAAGTCGAATACGAGCGCGAAAGGCTGCTGGGAATCGCTAAAAAATTAATGAGCCTTTCGCGCTCGTATTCGACTTTTCCGCTTTGCTCGGGGACAACCTTAATAGACCTTATGCATAATGACGTCACAAGGCTTGATGCCTGCGAGGAATGCTTTTTTTGTCACTGAAAAGCCCCTTTAGGGGAGTGTCAGTAAAGTCAATAAACAATAACAATAAACAATGCTGGTCTTAGTAGTCATCGCCCGGGAAAAGACCAGCATTCCTCGCGGGCATCAAGCCTTGTGACGTCATTATGCATACTAACTAAGAGCAGTTGGAAAGATGCAACTATATACGAACCTGTGGTCCTGTGATTCCAGTGCAGCGCTCTAACCAAGTCAGGTGTCGAGCTCTAACCACAAGTTCATGTTATATATATACAGGTGATGCCAAATGTAACGACTCGATAGAAGAGTTAGTGATATCGAATCTAGATGTCCAAAATCCTGATATTTACCCTTTCGGAATGTACATCGATCACTACAGAGCCTCGTTTTCGTAATTGGAATTTTGGTATAGAGCCTTTTATTTCGGTTTTAAACATATTCCTATAATCATAATAAGGTTTCTTGCACGAAAACGAGGCTCAATATAGCCAAGGTGATTTGCTGTCCGAAAGAGAGATTACAACAAAAGGATTGCTTCTACCATGCAAATATTATATATCTATAATATATTAGATATACAAAGACTTGTCAGTATGCCTAGTGCCACAGGTCTGCCTTGGTAGAATTTCATTATTTCCTTCTTACTCGTATTGAGCGATTGGGTTGCTCATTTTGCCAACTTGGGCTAAAGTTTTGACTATTGTTTTGGCCAAGAATGGCACCGACTCTAAACATAATATACTTTGTCGTAAAATGTGCAAAATAGTGAAATACATTTATTATGTCATTTACTTATATTTTGTTATCTTATAGGTTCGAAGGAGAATGCAAAACTTAGCATCTCATTTCCAGATTTACTTTCTGCTAATGAGAAAGGTATGGTTTTATATTTAATTTCTCTCGATATATGTCACGTGCAGAAAACTGGTATTGACAAGCGATATCAGTACTGTATAGGATATTACCATTGAAATGAATATAACTGGAACGCTACCTTCAGATAAACTGCCTATCTTTTTTCTAGAAGCCAAATTTTACCTCCAGACACGCGTGTCTGGAGGTAAAATCACGCGTGTTTATGACATGATTGATTGACTGATTGATTGAGCTCTCTTCGCATGTATGAAAAGACTGGGCATGACAACAAGAATTTGGCTTCACATTTCCGGTTGGAGGTAGCATTCCAGTTCTATTCAGTTCAATGGATATTACTCAAGTTCTGTTTTAAGTTTGTATCCTACTGTCCGGACCGAACAAGCTAAATCAATTATACGGCTAAAAACAAGAGCATTCTTCGAAAAACAATGTTTATATTAAAATTAAGTTGTTTACAACACTATTTATTTCAAGGATTTTAAATTTCTGCAAACAACTCTTGACAAGATAAAACGATAACAACATATTTTCAGATATTAATATATTAAAAGTCGAAAACAGAGCAGTTTTTAGTTTTTAGTGCAAAGTTGCTTTGCACTATTGTTATGAGAAAAATTCAATCCAGTGACCGATCAATGGATCGATCTATCGATCGATCAATCGAGTAAACAATCCGACCGGGGGACCTTGCAAATGATTTTCTATTAGGTTTTCTAGAGCTTCGCGACGTTCGGCCAACCAGTAATCGTTTATAGCTGTTTATACAGTAGATTATAACAATCTATATTTATATTCATGATGGTACATGTTCTTACTTATTTTATCCAACATTTAGAGAAGTTATAACCAAATTACTGTTACATTTCAAGCACTTGTTATTATATGATTTGCCCCCCTGCAACGTAAAACAAATGAATTTAAAATACACGTGCTCTCATATAATATCATTTTACAGTGGCGGGCATGGACGAGCGGTGTCTATTGAGCGGCGGTGTGAAATCGTGTAGAGTCTGTAGACTAGAGTGTGTTTATACAACTGAGGTTGACAGTATTATGAGAAAATCTTTGAGATTCTACCCTACACCACTGAATAGATGGCTATACTCAGACACTCAGTGCACTGAAACTACAGAGTATAGAAGCCTGTAGTAAGTAATACTCTGTGCTGAATTGCTGAAACCACACGGACAGCACGTGCGTGGCTCACGTTGCGTGTTTGGCTCTCTAAATATAGAAATGATTATAGGGTTCAGAGGACATGCTGGAAAAGGCGGAGTGCATGGAGTACGGAGTCTTTCAAAACAGTTTATTTTTCCTAGATTTTTTTTTAATGAGATTCCGCGTTTTCCACTTTCTGCCCCCATACACTTGCAGTGTCTTTCTCAATTCGAAACTTTGCACTATCCTTGGATCTCTAGTTGGAGCATCGTAGTCGTCATACTATGAGATCAGTGAGCGTTCCGTACTGCAGGTCACTGCCCGCTCAGGAACCATCAGATGGAACGCCTTGCCATATGATAGAGTGAAATATTGATTTCACTAGTATTTTAGTATCTAGTAAAAGACGCTCGTTCATCTAATAATATATAGTGTTTTTTCTGTGTTGGTGTTGTGTGTCTTGTGTACTCAGGTGAATGTGACGTTTGTGATGTTACTCTGAGTGTATATCCACACCGGGCGAGCTTGAAAAATATGCCCGGCCACGGTGAGAATCGAACTTACGACCTTTGGAATACTAGCCCAATGCTCTGCCAACTGAGCTACGCGGTCAGGTCGGTTCGAGTAAGTGATATTTTGGAACAGAATCTAGTTCCTTCGATACCAATGTAATCTAGTAATATGATTTTTTCTGTGTTGGTGTTGTGTACTCAGATGAATATGATGTTTGTGATGTTACTTTCGATTCCCATCGTGGCCGGGCATATTTTTCAAGCTCGCCCGGTGTGGATATACACTCAGAGTAACATCACAAACATAATATATATTGTGTTAACGAGAGGGTTCAATTGTGTAGTTACAGAATTCAGTTTCTTTGTACTACATCCAGGTCGATGGTGGATAGTTGGTTCTGCGTGGAGTCAAAGAGAGAAAAAGGCGTCATCGGGGGAAGATTATACCGTGACGTCATGCGACAGTGATATCATGGAACTATCACGACGACAAAGAATGAATACAGATGTCCGAAGAAATATATTTTGTACAGTCATGACAAGCGAGGTACAATACACCCTTCTAGAAAGTATTTATAGCCATGGTTATATGTTATATAAAGCCTCGTCTCCGTTTTTGAGACATTGACTTAAAAGCCCTTTATCCTGTTACTGATTACGAAATTATAAACAGGTCTTTCATATATTCACTGATATAATTCTATAATTTCGTAAATGTGTCATCTGTAACAAGATAAAGGGCTTTCAACCATGGAAACCAGGCTCCATAACCAAGAGTGGTATAATAAGCCAGACGTAATACGAAAGCTGCGGATTGATAGGGACACGACTATTTGTACCTGAAAAGTATACTAGCAGAACTTCGACGTTTCGAAGCAAACATTTAATATATTGTTTATATATTGGCTTTTATAATAGTCGGAGAGCTCATTTACATAAGGTGCGTTGACAGCCATTTCGACGTTTCGTCGGGACGGAAGGCCTTCGCTTGAAACTTCGAATTTCTGTTTTTGAAAAAATATCAGTATATACTGTATATTTTAGGACTACGTCGATGCTTTTGAAAAGCTAATGCGGTTGAAACTCAAAGACAAACAGTCAAGAGAAATTATTCATGTTTTGCTGGACTGCAGTCTGCAGGTATTTGGAACTGGATTTGATTTTCCATTATCAATAAGAGAAAGTTTTCTTTAATTTTATTCCTACCTTAAATTATAACATGCTTAAGCGATTATATTCATTTGTGGGAGAGGGGTCCAGTACCAAAACTACTTGGGTGAATACATTACGGGCAGCCTAAACTGGTCCAAGCAGTGCGAGGAAGTCAAGAAGAAAGCGAATAAGATTCTTGTCGTCTTGCGACAGAGAAATAAAAAAGCGCGTCCTCGAGAGTGTCTGCCTAAGTCCAGTGAGGTCTGTGCAGTTAGAGTATTCCACGACGGCTTGTTGTACAATGGCTGGCCGCCCGTTTTGTTTATATTGACTGTAGGCACACAAGTTGTGTGACAGTCTATAGGTTGGCCAACGTAGCGACCGTGTCTGGCTTGACTTGAGGGATTTAGAGATGTTTTATAAGATTTAATTTGTTCTAGTCAATATGTTCTTCTCTTATGAGCAGTGAAGGGATGCTCAGAACGTAGCAAGAGTAGGCCGGCGCGGTGTATGTCGGTAAATGTGTATAGATGCTCTTCTTTGTCAGATCTATACCAGCATGCATGGAACTCTTTGCCTGCTGGAGTGGTCAAGGCAGAATTTCTATCCCCTTCAGAACCAGAGCAATTGCCTCTCTAAGCTGCACCGCCAATTGCCAAATACACCCTTCCGGAAAGAACGTCGCTTCGGCCACTAGAGCCTCGTTTTCGTCATTGATACGTGGATACGTTTAACTGATATACACGAAAACGAGGTTACAGTGTACAAATGATGTACTTTCCTGAAGGGTGTATTTGCTCGAATTAATTTTAAAGACGTGACAGTCTTGTCCATTTTGTCGTCATAACAAGTTATATTTTATCCACAGGAGAAGTCTTATAATCCTTTCTATTCCTATCTTATTCAAAAGTTTTGTGAATTTAGTCGCAGTTTTCAGGTGAGATTCTTTATCGCCATTGGCTTGCATGCTCAAGCAATAACTTACCAAAAGTTATAGTTTAAGGTAGAAATTGATTTTGATATAATACTGCTAAAGACTAATATGTGCAATGGTCGACAGGATTTCTTTTGCATTCTCGTATTCTCATTTTATTGGTTCTCACTATAGTGACCATATTTTACCAGGTAACTGTACAGTACTCGTTGTGGGACCGCTTCAAAATGGCCACAACTTTAACTCATCAAAACCTTTCCAATATGGCGCATCTACTTGTTCATCTTTTGGTTACCAAATCTCTGTCGTTGTCTGTTTTGAAGGCAAGTATTCTTAATCATTTGTGCAGGGTACTTTACTCTTGTTTTAAATTACGGTACTTCAACTATTACAATACTACTTACGATACTACTTACGTTATTTATAACGACATTATATTATTTAGATTATGTATAACGACCTTGTATTATTATTATTGCTTCATGTATGTAGGTTGTAGATTTCACGTCTTTGGACAAGAAACTTGTTCAGTTCTTCACAGAAATGCTCACACATATTTTACTGGACTATCCTGAATCTACAACAAGGTACAGTAACAACTATAGTACTATATATACTTTTAATTTTACATTACTCTAGATTAAGACACTATGAAATTTATAAAAAAATGTTGTGTGTGACGAGTGAAAGAGTGAAATAAAAAATAGGGCGCGTTAATTAGGGCACAATGCAACTTAATGGGTTAAATCGAAGCAGCGACAACATATTTGATATTTTGAAACTTCATTCAAATTGCCCAAATGGTTTATAAATGTTTCATTTTACATCATCTTACCTTTTTATTCACTCTTAATTGCTTAGGGAGGTATTTTCAAGAATTGCTCCACTCACAAAATTGGATACATTGAAAGAAAGTTTAAAGTTATTTATGAAACATTTCATGAGACCAAAAAAGTTAAATTCTTCACCAGAAATAAAGAACAAGGTTGGAAAAGTAGATAAAACAATGAAATTGGAAGAACGTATTAATACTGCAGTTGAAGCTTTGTCAGGTAGCTGACAATTGTAATAACGTAAGTCTTGTAGAATCACATTCGTCCCACAGTTACTGTACGGGTGCACCGAAACCAGATTAAGAACAGATGTGTAACTTCTGTAAAAAAGTTGTTCCACGGTCGGCGGCGCGGTCGCCATCTTCCTAGCAAGTGTCTCTCGCGTGATAATTGGTAATACGTCTTGCTTTCAAAAATGCTTTCAACACCTTTTCAACAACTTTAATTGCTTTCAACAACTTTAAACATTCAACATTGATTGTTTAATAAAAAAATCTCGATCCAAAAAAGGCCGCAATAAAGTGCAAAAGTTCGTGTTTTTCAGGACGCCATTTGCTAGCAAGTGTTATGCATCCTATATCTATGGTGTCATGGCGTGATATATAGGGAAATTTGAGGACAAGAAGTCTTATTGAGTTACACATCTGGTCATACTTAATCTGTGCCAATATTTTAAGTTTTGCCAGTGAAATAAATATATCTGGAACGCTACTTTCAGATAAACTGCCTATCTTTTTCTTGAAGCCAAATCTGATTCTCCAGATACGCGTGTTTATGCCTCGCGATTCTTTCGCGTAAAAAATATTAGAAAAAAAAAAAATAAAAAAAAAAAATAAAGTCTACTAAGAAGTTTTACCTGAATAAACGCATTAATCGAAAGCTTTGAGCGCTGTTAAAAAGCCATTATTGTAAATTTGAAGCCGGTTTTCGGTACATATTCATGTTGACGGATTGACCGCGCTCTTCGCATGTGTGAAAAGACTGGGACTTGGCCTACAAGTTTGGCTTCAAATTTCCGGTTGGAGGTAGCGTTCCAGTTATATTCATTTTACTGGTTCTGACTGGATCTGGAAAAAATTCTGGTCTGAAATTTCGGTCGGAATCGGAACAGAGATTATTTAATTTATTCTATTCATTTTGAAATTAATGGTGTTTCCTGCAAGTTTCACAGGAGTGCGATTTCAGCACGAATCGCACTCCTAGCAGTGCGATTCGTGCTGAAATCGCACCTTCTTTCAACCAGTCACATTTGAGTGCTGACTTCAACCAACCAATCATATTAATTAATCATAGGATTCAAACAGCCAATCAATTTTAAGAAAAATGTGATATGGCAAATGAGCAAAAACAAAAATTTACATATGTCATGATTACCCTTGAGTGCCTAAGCAATTTTTGGCACATATACCGGGTGTCCCAAAAAAAGTACTCCTGTTTGATTTATAATAACTTCTAAACAAGTATCAAACAGAAATGACTTGCATTAAATAGAGGAAGGACTAACTTAGATTTTGATATATTACAAGTTGTATTTTACTTAAAAATTCACGGAGTTATTAATGTTCAAAATCGGGAGCATATTTTGGGATGTGTCTAAATTAGCGAAAATCGGCATGTCAAATATTAACTCCAGCGTTTGTTTGCTTAATGACATATCAGGCTAACTTGTACTTCAGCGAATTGTCGTTAGGGTTTGTAAGGGATATGGTGTAGATTTAGACATCTTACATGTAAGTCTTAGCTCATTGTTTCCTGAAATATGAACGTTCGAAATTATGCAAGTATAGGTCTTTACAATCTTAAAGGTACATGAAAGACCATGCAAGACAGGCGCTTACATTTTTCTTAAATAGCCTAATTTTTTTATGTTTTTCATGGGTTCAAAACAGAGATGATTATTTCTCGGTTAGAGCAGTATGAATATTATTCTTTAATGAAGGAAATAATATTGCTTTTTGCAAATACACATGACAGGATCAACGCTACTATTTTGTTACGTTTTGTTCCAAAAATGTTGGATGTCTCTGGGGAGTTGCTTGTTATGTCTTGTGGAGTTGTATGGTTTGATTGTGTTTCATTTTCAGTTTATTCTGAACTTAACAAGATTAAGAAAAGGCAAAAGAGTTTGAGTGTTCTTAACAAGATTTCAGAACGTTGCAGAAGTTAGAAGAGCTTCACAATTCCATTGTGACAGCATGCCCTAATTCAGAACTACGAACGATCCTGGGCGATACAGTGGTCTCATGAAATAAGGAAACGTATTCGTCCTAGGAACACACGCGGATTTCGGACGAATAAATCTTGCTTGTATTTTGTAGATAATAATACTTTGTTTCATAATAAACAATTTGTCAAGTGTCAGTTATTTACTGGTAATAGTGCATGTTTCAGTCGAGCAAATCTTGATTAATATTTGATACGCCGTTTTTTGCATATTTCAGACACATCCAGAAATATACTTCCGATTTTAAACATTAATATCTCCGTGAATTTTTAAGTGAAATACAACTGTAATATATCAAAATCTAAGTTAGTCTTTTCTCTATTTGATGCAAGTTATTTCTCTTTAAAAGCTTTACTTGTTTAGAAGTTATTACGAATCAAACCGGAGTACTTTTTTGGGGACACCCGGTATATAAACAAAAAAATATGGATAGCTATATATACAGTAAACTATCAAAGAATTGCAAAGAATTTGAAATTTTTTGAAATTTCTCAAATAGCAAACAGGCAAAAACGCCAACAAAAGCAAATTTTATAAAGCGTCAGGGGGAAAAAAAGCTCAAAACAAAGTGTCAAAGGTAAATTCGCCTGTAGTATTTCCAATTTTAAACGCACAAAGCTGCACCAAATCTCTTTCAAATCACTCGTAAAACCTACAATATGTTTAAACTCACTTGTTTTGTCTCTTATTCTTAATAAATGTCTTCATTTCTTTAACATTTTAACCATTTTTGCAGCAAAACTATAGTAACTATTGTTCATCTTGTTCGCTTATTGTTGCTATGCTACAGTACTCAGGGAGGTATCGGAGGTGTGTAGTACTCAGGGAGGTACCGGAGGTACTACAGTACTCTGGGAGGTACCAGAGATTTAATTAAGATTTCAAAATGAATATAATAAAGTGGAAATTGAACTTCGTGTTGTGCAATTTTGGACTGAAATCAAACTTGTGATTACATATCGCACTCCCGCTTCGCGGTCGTGCAATTTTCTAATCACGCGTTTGATTTCAGTCCAAATTGCACTCCACTCAGTTCAATTACCATTATTAACCGTTTATGATTTACGTTACTTTGTCTGTCAACCTTAAAAAGTGCGTAATATAGGTCTTGAACGATCAGTGCCAGTGTAGGTAATGCCAATAATAAGGAAACTTCGGATTGATAGAGATACAAGTACCTGACAGATACAAGGAGAACTTTCAGAGCGAAGACCCTTCGTCGAGAAGTTAGTAGTGGGAGTCAGGAAACTGGTATAAAAGCTCATGTAATTTTCTCGCGCCCGAAGTTTTCCGATGCTAGTATGTGTACACAATCGATGTCCATCGGCAAATGAACTTTGTATTCTTTTTTCCTAATGAAGACATTTTTCCTAATGAAGACATTTTTCCTAATGAAGACATTTTTCCTAAGGCCAAAAAAAAAATATGTGGGTTTCCGGTTTCTTCTTATAAAAACTTAGGTAGGGTAGGTCGGTTTTAACTTTTTTTTTTAAACTTTTTTTTTAATTTTCCGAACAACCGGACGCCATTTTGTTTAGTCGGTGCTTCCACATCCAAAGATAAATTTCCCTAATATTGCCTCAAATTTCAATTTTCCACAAACTTTTTCCTCTAAGTGGAAACACTTACAAGCGTGATCCAATAAAAAAGTTTAGGGTCGGGATTTCGACGTCCAAAAGCTAGGTAAGGTCGGGAAACCGGAAACCCACATATTTTTTTTTTGGCCTAATGAAGACATTTTTCCTAATGAAGACATTTTTCCTAATGAAGACATTTTTCCTAATGTTTTTTTCGTCAGTTCCGATCGGAACCAGAACCCTAAAAATTAGCGTTTTGGCCTGAACCGAGTTCCGGCGCACTCATATACCCACGGGAAAACATTTTAGTCAATTCAATGTACGCGTCTACGAATCGGCGATAATTGTTTTTTGAAAATGTACCGGTTCGACCTGGGTGAGGTTGAACCCTTTCCTGGAATACAGAAGGTCATTAGGCTAAAACGGCAAAAACGTTATGGCGTGTTCGTTAAATAAACATGGATATCTAACTTTAGCTGATATTTAATGAATAATCATGCAATGAAAAACTAAACATGTATTACCAACTATACAATTTAAAGAATCACAGTCAACCAAGATGCATTGCGCGCTAAAATGTTTTCATTGTTTTGTATTCCGCCATTTTGTTAGCCACTTTAGTGACAAAAGATTGACATCCGAAGCGTATCCTTATCAATCTGCATTATTCTTAGACACTGTCATATTTTCTATACTTGTAACATGTTAATAGATCATTGATTGATATTTTGGCGTGTGTGTTTATCTTAATGATTTTAGAAAGTTTTATCATTTTATAAAGTAGTGGCTAATCATGGCTTCTGTATTTCCCGTTCGTGGAAGACCAACAAGTGAGGGTATATCAAAAAGAATATCGTTGACAAGTCCAACGATACTTGAACAACCGTCCTTTGGACGGAAAGGAAAGAAAGCCATGGAATACGGGGACTTTCGCATTGCGAGTTCGCCGAAATCCTGCTCCATCAAAGCAAGGACGAACTGCGTGAACGTAGTCGTAGTAGGCGATGGGGCAGGAATTAGGATTTCATCAAAACACCAGGGGGTAAATGTATTAAAGTTTTTTTTTCACTATTTTTTGCTCCCCGTATTTGTAAACATTCATATAGCACGCAATGCATCTTGGTTGACTGTGATTCTTTAACAATTATATTGAGAATTCTACAGTAACATACATGTAGTGAACACTGTACTGATAATTAGACACCTCGGCTACGCCTCGTGTTTTACATGCTTGTCTCGTCTCACAACAACAAAGATTTATTTGTACCCAATTTTTTGAATTGTATGAGAAAAAATATTTAAGAAGAGTACCTGCTACCTGTAATAACCATAATGGCTAATACGATCAGGCAGCAGAAACAAGTCAGGCTGGGTTCACGAATTTATAAATTACTTAAGAAGAAAAAAACTCGAAAAAACCAACAAAAAATCCACTCAATGTTTAAAAGAAATATTAGGAAGAGAGGCAAACAATGTGTCATTCTGAGTATAAAAAACTAATATACGTCGATGAAGTCAATTTTCAATTTTTTTTTGAAGGCTGAGGGAGAAAGGTATTTTAAGTTTTCATCTATATCGTTCCACACCTTTACACCTTGAAATCGAATGTTAAATTTTCCATAATTAGTCCTTACCCCTGGAATTGAGTAAGAAATCTTACTTGAAAGTCTGGTATTATAGTTGTCAACTTCGTTAACACGAACAAAAATTTTTCAAATGTGATCGGAAGTAAATTACTATGATATTTATGCATAAATATTGCCATAAAAAAACAACAAGATCATGAAATTTTATTTAAAAAGTTTGTTTAAAAAGAGGGCTAGAGTGTTCATCGAATTTGGAAAATGTCATAATTCTGAGCGCTCTTTTTTGCAATAAATAGAGAGGATTAAGGGTAGAATTACAAGTACTACCCCATACAAACCATATATTCAAAATGGATGTACAAGAGAATAATAAAGATTAATAAGAGTATTAATATTAGCATAATAACGTATTTTAGATAAGATACCAATGCTACGATTTACTTTCTTTTTTATATAATTAACTTGATTTCTCCAATTAAGATTTGAATCAATATAAATTCCTAAATATTTCACGCATTTTTTTCTTTTAGTATTTCATTATTTATAGTTAATGTTGCTGTAGAAGTCTGTTTCTTTTGAGATGAATGGAAAATAACAAAATTTGATTTTAATATTTACATTTAAAGATAACTTATTGGAGCACAGCCATATGGAGCACAGCCACATCTCAACATTCTCCTCGTATGCATTATCACACCATAAACCCACGCGACTCATTTTCTATTTCTTAATTATACAGTATAAGTTTGTTTCTTGAGTGTGTATTTACTAGATGATACATGCATGCAATATGTATATAACAAACATGAATAATTCAGTGGACAGTTATTGATCATCCCGATGACGTCTTTTTAATCTTTTATAATAAAACTCCGCGGCCAGCATTATCCAACACAAGCCTACTGCAACACCAAGTACGACAAACATGCCTGATACATCGTACGCCGTCATTCTATGAAATGTATTAAAATTCACAGAATTCCCATTCTCTTCATTTCCACATGATGTTTTCATCCATCTATGAGCCAATTCTAAGAACGTGTCAAATTTCTCATATTGAAGAAGTTTCTGGCTAAATATTGATGTCCAAGTTGAGTTTTTCTGCAAGGCAATGCCATATCCTGATCGAAAGAAAGGTTCACCAATCACACGTAATGAACAGTTCGGGTCCTTCGCTGCAATGTAAACCATTGTGTTGTAGTCTCCAATAAGGACGTCTATTTGACTAGAAAACAAAATATTATTAATGACGCATGTGCGTGCTATTGTGATCAGTTACCAATCATATATACCATAAAGGAGTTTTACAACAAATAACTTTGCTTTTGCTGCTGCGAACTGCGCTCGCTAGACCTTCTCTAAATTTAACAAGATGTACAAAACACTGAACGCAATTAAGTTATTGTTGAAATGAGTCAAAGATTCTGGACTATTATATTCGTATTTCCTACTTCGGCCTTTGGTTCATACGCGGTATCTTGCAACCTTGACATTCAATGTTGTTTACATGACTCTGATCAGGAGGTTTACCGGAAATCAACTATAAAAATTTAATTAAATTTTCATACTTTAAGGAGGGTGTTTAAGAAATAAAAGGCGACTTTACAGTGACAATACAAAAAGTGTCCCGCTTCTGTAGTTTGTTGTGATTTACTGTAATTTGTTCTGTTCTTCTGTAGCGATTACCAATTTATCGGCAAATACCGCGATAAAATTTAAATTTCGTACCTTTTATGCAATAAAACTAACGGAAAATGTATTATTTCCCTTTACTACAAATTATCATCTTTAAAAATAGAGAAAACTGAGTTTTATCGCGGTATTTGCCAATAAATTGGTAATCGTTACAGAAAAACAGAACAAATTACAGCAATTCACAACAAACTACAGAAGCGGAAGTGGGACTCTTTTTGTATTCTTACTGTAAAGACAGACGTTTATTGTCATAACGGCAGTTTTACGCTACTTGTCCAAAGGCGAATGAATACCAACTAGACAACCTGCAATTATAGTGAAGTTTCGATTTAAGATAAACAATATCACCTTTGATTGTTCATACGATTATTACCTCAATTTGGAAATATAAAGTGAAAAAAGTCTCTTCAACTTTCATAGCTATTACATAATGCTGAGGGGCGTTTATAGTCATCAAATGATGATTTCATGGCTGTTGAAATAGGCGTTTATTAGTTATGCACGTGCGCTGTGGGATATTACAGACCTTTTTTTGGTAACAACTTCGTGTTCCGCGAATATATTTCTCGTCGACCTTGACCCCTAATGATAACCCCATCCCTAATTTTAAACATATTGAGCGCAAAACGTTGCTTTACTTACTTTCCCTTGAGTCGTTCTACACCAATCTCACTGGTCGGTACATTGTTCCCCATCATGTGTTTCCAAATGTTGGTAAATTTTGGATCAGGACTTGTACGGAAGAATCTTTCAATACTGCTTCCACTTATTGTCGCTATTTTCAAATCATCGCCAGGATGCTGCAACTGTTGTAAAGTAATCTATATTAAACTTATTAAGAGCGATGTAACTTTGCTATTACGATGGTTAACACGAGAGTATTGGTGGGTTGCGTTTCTCTGCATTATGTTCTTGTTTTTGGTGCATTATATTCTGGCGTATTAAAGTGTCTATGCAAGGAAATTCCACCCCAGTATTATATGTGTGCTCCCACGTGCGTCTGAAGTTAAAACTTATCTATATAGTTCGCGAACGTGCCAAGAAACAGCCACAAACCTCCAGCGCTCGAAACGTCAACTTTTTTCTATATTTTTCAGGTAGTTAGACCTGGAGGTGGCGGAACAGGGTGCTAAGGGGGCTATAGACCATCAGAAACAGAAGTGGAAGGGTTAAGCCTCCATAAAGTAAACTTCAAGAATAACCGTAACAGTATACCTTGCCGTCTTGTATTCCACGAGTTATTGGAGTTACGTGTAATTCCGCAACGAGGAAAGCGGCTAGCTGCGCTGTGTAAGTTGTAATGAACACGAGAAAACATAACGCCAGACTGATAGCACCAATCTTTGCAGCATTATTGGAAGGTCGTATTACCTTATCCCGTGTACGAACCACTGTACTCCAAGAATAATGCAAACTGGCTGCAAAAGTAAACTGGACCAATGTTTGTCTTCGTATTTCATGTTTTTCGCCGTCTTTGTGCGTGGCAAATTTATCCATGATCCAAAACGCTATTCTTTCCATGGCCCAGAATAAAATTCCCATGAGTGAAATGGCGAGGAATGTTGCTATCCACAGCTGTGCAGCAACTGGTTGTAAGAACGCCCAAATACCCTGCGCTATACCCTGACGATCAACTCGCACCAGGACTCCGACACCGATCTCCATAAACGGATGTGTAAAGTCTACGACTCGGGAACGATCGTCGGTGATCGTTAAGTCGGCGATCGCAATGTCGGCTTCACATCGTATTATTTCCCCAATCATTCCATTCCATTGGTTTGTCTTTTCATCCAGCGAACCGTGTTTACCATCTTTGGTAATATGAACCTCAATATCTACACCTAAGTCCGTTTGTAGTAGATGTACAATGTCTATTATATAGCCTTTACAACAGAATTGTGTCGTGTGATTGCCTTCTCGAGCGTAAACATGACAGATCAAGCCAGTCCCACAGCTGTGTTTTATGTTCACCATCTGGTTTAGATACACAAATGGTGCCGATAAAGCTGTTACAGCACGGATTTTCTTGGGTATACGAGAATGGGATGGGGGTGTCTCTCTCACAGATTTATTCTTTAGATCAACAACCTGATCGAAATAAAAGTGCATCAATAATAATAACAAGGTGAGGCAACAGCATTGAATGAACTCAACTCGCAAATGAACCATAGCGCTTGTTCTATGACGTACGATTCCAGTGAACGTAATCTTTGTGGTAAAGCATTTAAACTAAGATTTGAGAGTTAATGGTAATGCTATGTGATTTCTAGCAAATGGAAAAACATCCAAAACTTATAACCTCATATTCAGCATTGACTCTGTTTCCTTGTTCTTCAAAGGCAAAGTAGCCTGTCTTCCCAACAAATGATTGCTGTATGATATGCCTAAAAAGGTAAGTAAAAAAATTTGACTGACTGAAATAACATTTTTGAATTATGTGATACATATATAGATATATAATGATATAATATCGGGTTTTTAAACCTGTGGAATTCTTCTCCAAATGATGGGTCCACTATGTCGAAACAGCTCGCGTAAGGAACTCTATCTTTTGTGTACTTGTTCGTATAACTTCCAAAAGCCTGCTTGATCAAATCAGCTGCATCTGACAAAATGTTTTGAAGTTCAGTTGAATTTTTAGGCTGTAAAATGAGAGTATTCACTGGAAGAGAAATATTGCTTGGTTTGTTTTCCCAAGTTAAAATCCATTTATACTTTGATCCTGTCATCTGCATCATTTCTCCGAGTGTAATTACCTCTCTTAGATCTTCCTGGTCAACATAAATAACCAGATTATTGATCTTCAAATTTCTTATTTTCGCCAATATTTCAGCAACCGCATGTATACGTTTCGCCGATGAAAGTCCAAATGTGAGGTGATAAAACTTGATATCGTCTCGAAATGCAGATGTAATAAGGTACTTCATTCCTTCATATGTTTTTGTGTTACAGAGGACAGCAGCAGGAGCCCATGTCCGTAAAATTTCCATGATCTGAGGTAGACTGTCTGTTGGTCTTGGATACAAATTAATGTGAAGGTATTCCTACAAGGCAAAACAAAAAACTCGAACTTATTATGAAGTTATTGCTATGGAGAAATACAAAATATATTGCATGCATATTGTCATATTAGCGAGCTTAAGATCTACAACGCGAACTTACGACGCGGACGTCGCATTAAACAAGTTTTAATTTAAAACAATGGCAAATACCATTAAAATATTTTTATCACAGTAAATAAAATGAAATTATACTGGAAAAAAGTACAACGTAACAGAGGCTAGCAATATATTAAGAAGGTATTTTTTATCATAAGTTTTTGCGACTTTTATGACGACGAGTCTTTGCAAATATCACGTCGTCCCGGATGGTAGTTTTGGCGGGAAAATGTGCATTCGTAACAATAGTCTATAAAGCCTGGTTTCTGTCACTTCGTATGGCTGTTAACGTGTCATAATAGTGTCACAAATCTCGCAGAAATAAACTGTGACAACTCTGACTAGGCTTACACTCGAAAACTAGGCTTAGGTAAGCACGTCCGCGTCACAAATTCGCGTTGTAGATCTTAAGCTCCCTATTGTCTAACTGTGCGGACGTGTCTTACACAGCTCTACAAAATGTCTGATTTTTTGACGAAGGTTGTGAAGTGTTTAGACCAAATCAAAGCTCAAGGCCTTTCTAATCTTGAATATGATGGAAAGAAGCTCAAATGGAGAAATGATAGATTTGCGGAACTAAAAAAAATTGTCGAAGATAGTCTTGGTATTAAAGGCAAATGGTCGTCGCCCGGTGGCGGTAATAAAAGATTCAAGGAAGAAAATGGCCAACTTATACTAAACTGGTATTTTAAGAAGCAATGTACCTTGTTATTTCAAGGTACGGAGGGAGGCGGCTTAAAGAATAAACTGATATATCTACTTGCCAAAGCAAAACCGCAATCTTTTGTCGAGCAAGAAGGAAACACACCCGGTAATGGCGGGTTTCCAGATGAAGCCGACAGCATCCTCGCTGTTATACTGTGGACAGCGAACAGCAACCATTTACTAGTTTATCTCCTACTAGCGAAAACCCAAACGTATCTACCGACAACTGTCTTTGTAGATGTAAATCAATGGCAATCGAAATTGAAGGATAAAACTGGACATAGTCATCCTACAAAGCGGCCAAATGTCGAGCGAAAGCACAAAGACGAAATGTACGAACGAAGAAATAAGCAAGCCACAAATTGAATTAAAAAACGAACAGCATAAAAATGCTATACTAAAAGATCGAGCAACGACAGCTGAGGAAGAAAGAGACTCGCTTCAAACTTCTCATGCAAGACCATGCAAACCGTTGACAATATTAATCCTTCGACTAAGACGAAAGACCAAGGCAATCGCTGGAGTACAGTACCGAAGACCAGAAATAAAGCAATAAGCAGTAACATCACATCAAACGTAAACGGCAATGCAACTGACGGAGTAGCTGAATGTACATGGTGCCAAAACAACTTTCTGGTCTTAGATGACCTAAATGAATCCTGCAGAATTATCGACGAGATGCAGATAAAAAACCGAATTGGCAGCGATGGAAGCAACGAGGGCAAAGATAAACCGCCAGCAAGCAAGCGTCAGCAAGCAAGAGTACAAAACGACAAAAAGACTGTAATAGTGGGAGACTCGATTGTCAAAGGTTTGCAGCAACACAAACTTTCGAAAGCAGCAAAGCAGAGTGTGGGTGTGAAATGCTTCCCAGGAGCGACTGTTGGGGGATATGAGCGATTATATAAAACCCGTGCTACGTCAAAAGCCAGATACCGTTATTCTGCATGTGGGAACAAGCAGCACCACTAACAAGGAAGCATGCGAGATAGTTAATGACATTGACAGATTATGCCAAGAGGTCAAAGAAATTGATCCCAACGTTGAAATAATATTGTCTGAATTGATCAACAGAGAGGACAATGCAAAGGCCAAAACAAATGTTCAGGAGGTAAATCGTTTGTTAGCATATTACTGTACTGCGACTAATTCAAATCTAATTATACATAACAACAATATCCTCAGTAAGTCGCTTAACAGATCCAAATTGCATCTGAATAAGTTCTACTTTAGCTAAAAACTTTATTAGTTATTTACATAATTTGTAGCCTATAGGTAAAGTTCCAACTCTTTACAGCAAAATTTCCGATACCGAGCCAAGTTGCTCCATTGAGAAGATTATTCAGGATCCGTTCCCTAATGCAAGCGAAAATTTTCAAAATTTAGAGATAGAGAACGAGAATAACATAAATTTTCTACGATCACTAAAAGGATTTAGAGTTGGACATATAAATATTGCTTCACTCGTCAAGCACATTGACGAATTGAAAATATATCTTGAAAAAGAACCATTCGACATCCTTAGTATCAACGAAAGTAGACTCGATGAAACGATAAGCACTGATGTTGTCAGCATACCAGGATATGAAATGATTGTTAAAAATCGTAATCGTGTGGGTGGCGGTGTTGCAATTTACTATTGCAGTGTTTTGAATGTTATGAATAGGCAAGATTTCCAGCGAATGTTGAAGCTGTTTGTCTCGAGGTCACTAGGCCAAAATCCAAACCCATTTTAATTACATCTGTTTATAGACCCCCAAATTCGCGAATCGAACTCTTAAACGATATTGAAACACTATTTCGGAATCTTGATAGTGAACATAAAGAACAAATTATTGTAGGCGATTTTAATTGCGATCTTTTACGAGATAATTTAAATAATCACACAAAAAGATTTAATGAGATAGCAAATTTATTCCAAGTAACACATATGATTGATCAACCTACGCGAATTACAGATAGTACATCGCATAGATATAGGAGATCTAGATTGCTAACGCATACCTAGCGCAGGCGGGGCCTACATGATAAATCCAAGATGGCGGTACAACAGGGCAAAAAGACTATAGATTCTATTACGAAAATCAGGAATTTTGCATTTTTTGCCGTCGCATTGTTTCGAAACTTATTCGGTCAAATTTTATGGTAAAGAGAAACTTACCGCGAAGATTTTGAGCTGATATATGATTGAATTGGATGAAAAATCGCAAAATTATCCATCGATAAAAGTTCGTGTGAAATGGTCAGTTGGTCAGTTGGAGCGTTTTATTGCCAGAAATACTGTGCTATGTTAACATCTTGCCTTGTGAATGGTGTTTTATACTTGCATCTCTCATCATCATCTGCTCTGTCCTTATAATTATGAAAAATGAACTGTTATGTACCCCCCCCCCTCCTTGCTTGTTAGAGAAGTAAACTGATGAGAGCACTGGATGAGGGTCTATCATCTATGGTCTGTTATAATTTGCTTTTCATGCAAATAGTGAGCAAAAATTAAAGCAAGACTGTACAAGTTACATATATAGTACTATATCAGTACTATACACAAACATTTATCGATGGATAATTTTGCGAGTTTTCATCCAATTCAATCATATATATGCTCAAAATCGTCGCGGTACGTTTCTCTTTACCATAAAATTTGACCGAATAAGTTTCAAAACAATGCGACGGCAAAAAATGCAAAAATCCTGATTTTCTTAATAGAATTTATAGTCTTTTTGCCCTGTTGTACCGCCATCTTGGATTTATCATGTAGGCCCCGCCTGCGCTAGGTATGCGTTAGCAATCTAGATCTCCTATATCTATGGTACATCGTCTCATTTGGATGTTGCACTTGTAAATAATCCCGAAAACACTTCACAATCTGGGGTTTTGCATGTAGGAATTAGTGACCATAGTTTAATTTATGCCTGCAGAAAACTTTCCTTTAGCTATAGTAAAAACCAATCCAAAGTGATTCGATCAAGCGATTTTAAGAATTATGTGCAAAGAAATTTCAATCTTGATCTGGATATCGCTTTGTCAAATATAGATTGGGATTTTGACGACCCAAATAGACTCTGGGAGAACTTCAAAACAACATTTAATTATGTTGCCGATGTTCATGCACCTACTAAAAGCCGTAGAGTGAGAAGTCAAAAAGCACCATGGCTCACAGACGAGATTAAGCAAATCATAAATCGGAGAGATTTCCTAAAGAAAAAAGCTATTCAATCAAATTCAAGTGCATACCACAACGCTTACAAAAGTTTAGGAAATAAGATTAATAAACAAATAATAGATGCAAAGCGACTTTATTACCAGGGTGCATTCCGTGCAAACTTCACGCCGAAGATAATCTGAGGAAGTGTTGTCTTGCGCCAAGTGAGGTCAACTTGTGCGCCGGCTGATCGTGGGCACCGTGATTTTTCATTAATAGTTAGTTTTTTTAAAATTAAAACTTGCTAAAAAGGCGTGTAATTGACGAATAAGATGTTTTGCTGATGAGCAATGATGAGTATTGTTACTGTTCTCAGGGCCGTAGCGAGGGGAGTATTGGGGGGGGCCCCAATTGCAACTTTTGTAGAATTATATTCGGAAAATCGGGTTGGCCATTCGGAAAATTACGGCAATAATAGTATAACAAAATTTTATTTGTTTAATTAAACAGAGAAAATATTATAAAATGGTATTGTCAGTATAAACCATTGGTATAAACTGATTTACGAAATCACGGCATTTACATGGATAACGTAAAACAAATCGTAAATCGGTAAATGTTTTTCGGTTTATTACTTCTCAGGGTCGTAGCAGTCGATCGGGGGCAGCAGCCCTTACAATAATTTGCTGATAATCATGGCTTTTTTCAAAATCATGCACACCTTAGTTTATCATTTAATTAAATAATATACCTTTAAAATACTGACAATAGACTAGAGGTGTGCATCGGATCGGACGTTTATAATCCGACAATTGCCTAATGTTTAAAATCCGATCCGAAATTGTCTAATCCGATCCGACTTTTGAAAAAGAATTCCAATCCGATCCGATCCGAAGAATTCTTTAATAAAATAAATTTCTCATTCAAGGTGAAATATTTAACCAAAAAAATATAAAAGCAAGAAATACATGTCAAGAAGCTGACAAAGTGACGTCCAATTGAAGTATCAAACGAATAATGCAGCGAAAACTGCGATGATACTTTGATAAATGTATGGATAATTAATTCTTGCGATAATGCATGGATAATTCATTTTATTTCGGATATCGAAGTCCGAACCGACTACGAAACAACTTTATCAATCCGATCCGAAATTTACATTTTGGTTCCGAAATCCGAACGAATCCGATCGGATTTGCACACCTGTACGATAGACCTTAATTTCCCCATTTTAGTGAAATTTTGATCTAGACAAGCCTGGACAACAATTTCACCACAGCTTGAAAGAGCATCACAAAATTATTAATATTCCGAAGTTTCGTTGAATGTTGTAAAATGCGGATAATATAGCCTTGCGAAGTTTGCCGTTTTTCAGTCATTTTGCATTACAAACGGGAAATTGATAATCAGATGATCAAACTGATTATCAATTTCCATTTGTAATACAATGACTGTAAAACGGCAAACTTCTTTCTTCTATATTATCCGCATTTTACATTTCGTAACGAACCTTCGGAATATTACTAATTTTGTGATGCTCTTTCAAGCTGTGATGAAATTTTTGTTTAGGCTTGTCTAGATCAAAATTTCACTCATAAGGGGAAACTTCAGAGGGGAAAGGTCTATTGATTAATTTTAAGCGGCTACATTATCCATGACAAATCGCAAAGAATCATATTACCTATACTCTTTCCTGCAATATATAGTTAATTAAATACGCCTTCGCCCATTTAGTTCTACTAAATTGTAAGCAAATTGTAAATTTCGACATACTAAAACTCTATTAAGAACTCGAACCGACTTGACCACGTACTCAGTTGGCAGAACATTGGGCTAGTATCCCAAAGGTCGCGGGTTCGACTCCCATCGTGGCCAAGCAAACTTTTCAGCTTGCCCGCTGTGGATGCATATTCAGAGTAACGTCACAAATATCATACTAAAACTCCGTTTTCTGACCATCAGAATTCTGTCAAAACTTCTCCAAAGTCCAGGAAATGGCATTTCAGAGAATCTAAATTTAAAAATTTCCTCGGGCCTTCGGCCCTCGTTCTCAGCCCCCAATAAAAATGAGCTTCCTACGGCACTGTATGCTTCTGTAATATGTCTTTGCGTAAACTATGTGTATTTTTGTTTGTAAATTGCATCTTCATTTTCCGGATAGCAAATACCTTCGTGGCTTCGTATGCCATGAAATATTCGGAAATTTTCTTCGTCATTCGGAAATTTTTGGCCTACACCCCCCAACTTTACATGCTAGCTACGGC